ACAAGGGTAGGCACCTAACAGCGGTGAAGCAGGCCGGGTTAGGCGGCGTACTGCGGCAGAATAGTGGGTCCAACGGAGCCGGATCTCGGTAACTGCTCCGGCGAAGCCGGAGATATCAATCCGGGCTCTAGCCCGTGACATAAATTAACTATTAATAAGTTTATATGAAGATTTAATTAATAAAAAGTTATAAACTTTATTATAATAATTAAATATTATTAAATATAATATTAAGAGTTTTTAATTAATTTAATAGACTTTAAACTAAAATTTATAAATATTAAAAAAGTATTAAAATAAGTAGATTTACTATTTTTATAAGAAAATATTAATAGAATATAATAATATTAAATTAATTATAGCTTTAAAAACTTTATATATATATAAGAAGAAATAAATTTCTATTAATTACTTTAACTAATTATTATAACTAAATAATAGCATTTAATTCAATCTATGCATAACTAATTATTTTATAAATATTAATAGAAAACTTAAGTAAAAATATTTTATGAATAAATACTTTTAAAATAAATATAAATTGAGATGTAAATTTTTAATCTTTCTCTTTCATACTTTTAATTTTATCATAAATACTAATAATATAATAATTAATATAAAAATATAAAAATAGAAACTAAAGCTTTATAAATATAACTAGAGATAAATAAAAAAAACCTTTCTTTTTAATTTAAAGATTTCTATTTAAAAAGGGAAGTATAAGTTATGATAATACTCCTACCATCTCACTATAATATATTACTAACCTTCAGGCTAGAAACTATTAATATATAGGTCACTATACTTCCCTGTGAGCATGTAATCTCTCATATGCCCGACTGGCCCAGGCGGAAAGTCTGGTGACAGCCGCTAGATCGGGCAGGTGGGGCAGATCTTAGCTGCGGGGGAGCAGGGAAGTGGCTGGCGTCTTGCCCTAAAGGCTGGCGATGCTAATTTAGACTACATCACATGGGCTTGTGTAAGAGGCTGCTACTTTGAGGGTGACACTGATTCTATGGGTCGACAAAGCGCCATTGATATAAACCAAAGACGGAACAATGCAAGTGATATAATGGGGGTAATACAAGGTTCATGAAGTAGAAAAAGGCTGGTAGTGGTGTCTACAAGTACCTCCAGGAGGGAGGAATTGACCCAACAATCAGGAGTCATCCTATGCCGAAATTCAACTGTCATATCAAATATCCCACCGAAAATTTTGAAAGCCAGCTGTTCCTCAAGTCCCAAAGCTTCCAGGACAAAAGTGTCTTTGCAAAGGGTGACGTCAGACCGATGTGAAGCAAGTGCAGTCCCAATTCACCTTCCTTCCCTCCTCCCCCCCCCGAAAAGAATCTATTTCATCCGCATCCGCATCCACATCCGCATCCGCGCTAGCTGGTTTTTTTTTTCACACCATCTGACCGACAAGCTGGCCCAAACCTTCGCTCTGGACTTTCACATTCACTTACCCTTCCCATCAGACCTGGTGCCACCACTCACAGGCGACTTTCCTCCCCCAGATATCCTGCCCACATGCCATAAATTCCCCGACAGGCCAGCTCCGAAAATTTCTTCTCTTCTCAACCCACTCGGTCTCTTCCCTCACAGTTGCTTCGAGAGACACCCCAATCTTCGCACTTACAACCCGCCATTCGTCTCCATTTCCAATCAAGTACTTAATGAACGACGTTTCTGCGTCAGAAAAGACCAAATTACGGGCCAATTGGTGAGTTTCGCCGGAAAACTCCCTCTCCTACATATCCTTACGGTTCTCCAAATCTTGCATCCTGATCTGCCGGAGCGCGCAACTGACATTTTCGGCAGATTGAGGCGATCCCAGCTACTTCTTACTCCCACGACACAATCTTCCCTCCGACAAACTGTTTCTTTGCTTTTACACACTGCAATCGCAATGGACGACTCTGCTGGCGCGCCTGGCATGGACATCGAGCAAGATTGGGATTCCTCATCGGATGCTTCGACTCCGCGGTCTGATACTTTCACGAACACTCTTTTTTCGAACCCTGATTCGCCTGCATCGTTTGTCGACACTGAGATGTCTTTTCCTGGCACTGGTCCTGATGGGGAAAAGCAATCTCCGAAATTAACGTCCCCTAACTTTGGCATTATGCCTAGCTTCTCCAACCATATCTTCGTTGGGCAAACCGCTTATCCTTCAAGTCATCTGCGAGCTATGCGCGACGAATTGAGACAGGCACGCAAGAGAGAAGAATTTCCCAACACTACATCCAACGCACAAGATCCAAAAACCATCGTTGAGGACTATCAGTGTCTCATGAGTCTTCGAGATGTCCGCGGTGACCCTTCCATCTATCCACCACCCGAAAAGTACACCCAACTCAAGATCGAAATCGCACGTCGCATCAAGACTCGCGATGAAGCCGAAGGAGGCTCAACCCAACTGGAAGAGATAGACAACCGAGTTCAAAGTTGGATGGGATCAATCAACAAGGAAGCTCGAATGCTGGAGATTACTCAGGCCGCACTGCAGCGCAAGGGCATCAGTAACCCCACACAAGCCGACCTGGACGCCATTGCGGAGGAGTTCATGCAGATCGCCGAGCGGACGCTGCTTGACGTCGCCAATCCCCTTCGCATGAACGCAACGCGTATGGAAGGCAACATGAGTCGCTTCGACAGCCAGCTCAGCGGTTTTGATGGCGCAATGTCAGCACAATTGCATGGCATGACATCTCAGCTCAACGGCCTGGCATCGCTAAATAATGCTGCCAATACCTCGATCAATGCTCAAATTACCGGCCTGTCCAACCTCAATGACGCCGTCAACGCCTCAATGAGTGCTCAAGTCAACACACTCAACGATGTCTTAACCAATCTCCAGACCAACATGAGCAAGGCCGTTGGAGCCTCGGCAGAAGCAATGAATACTTCAACCAATGCGGTGAGCACTGCCATGGCGTCACAACTCAGTACCCTCAACACCATGCTGTCAACTCAAAGCAGCACGTTCGACGGCTCGCTGAACATGCTCAACACATCTCTGAACACAGTCACGTCCGACTTACAAAAGTTGACGGCAAGCCTACCCGACATCATTGCCGCTGCGACACAAGCAGCAGTTCAACAGCAACTCGCCAGTGCGTCAAACCAGAATGTCTTCCCCCAACACCATCACGTACCCACAGAAGCGCCACCCAGCTACATCAGGAATGCTGCCTCGACACAGTTCCCACCGACACCCGCCACTCCTCTTCCAGTATACTATCAAACCACCCAGGAAACAAATCAAGACATGAGCCAACAGGACGGCAAGAGGTTACAGACGGGGCGCGCGCCAACATCCGGTTCAAGGTTTCAGAAGTTTATGGTAAAGATCATCAAGATTTAAGTCTTCAAGGAAGGAAAAGTTAGAAGGAAAAGGATATTAGCATGGGTTTCTATCTTGGCTGTCCGGGCAGGCGGGCAGCTCTGCTGATTTGGGTCGGATAAAAACACATCTGATCACCGCACATTGGAAAGATCACAGAAATGATGGGAGGACATTGGTTTTGTAGATCATTGGCAGCTCTTCCCTCTCGATACGAGATTAATAATTTCATCCCATGCCAGACTTGAGCATCTTGACATCGCAAAGACATCGCCGGGACGTAATACGCAGAAGGAACGTAGACATGATTTCTGGGGGAGATTGGTCTTGCTCCTGGGATGTCTATGTGCTAATCTTTGGTCTTGTTCACTGACAAGCGATGGACGGAGATCGAGCAGCACTTGGCGACGTCGTTGCATGTGTCGTCGACTTCTTCGTCTTCCTGATGCCGGCCATAAACACCTGCTTCTCAAGCAATGTGATCTTGATTACAGCTACCACCTACCACCACTATTGTTTCCTTCTTGTTCGCAGACAACCGTCTCCAGGCATATCGCCTCCCAGGTTTACGCATGACATCAACCACAAGCGACTCTCGCAAGCCCCCAAAAGCAGACCAGCTGGCTTTTTCAACAGACTCGAACTTTTGGAATTTTGAACAGTTTCAAAAAGGCCGTCTGCTTTCTCTGCCGTCTCTACCGCCTTTTCGTATGCTTGACCCTCGTCCATCGTCTCCGGCAACCGTCTCTCGTCATCTCTAGGCGCTATCGTCACTATTCCTCATCTCTGGCTTTTGGGGAAAGACGAAATGGGAAAGAGTCTCCCCCAAAAACGCTCATACCCAATTTCCACCGGCCGTCTGATCTCGAGACAAAAGGAAAACTGGCAGTCGCGAAGGAAGCAACTGCTTCAAAAACCCAACATGCCTTCCCAAATCTTCCCAGCTACCATCTCTCACCTTCCTAACACAGAGATTTTCCTCCTTCCCAACCCGTAAAGCCCAAAACTCACCTGTGGGATCACAAACTTTCTCCTCAATTCATCAACCACAACATAAGTTTGTGAGAACTAAACTTCAACACCGCGATACGAAAGCTCATCAGTCATACCAAGCCTCAACACCACATGCAGGTACTCTCAATTTCTTTCTCACCTTCATCTGACTTTGGGATGCTTCTTTCACCTCCTAGCCTTCACCCTCACGCGAAAAAGGGCCTTTCACCTCACCCAGGCTTGGATGAGTGAGAGAACAATTCACCTTTTATTGCGCGACGTCTCCTTTCATCTCACGTGTGATAATCTCCGGACTAATAATTACTGGTTACAGTAATGGCTCCCGGAAAGCCGGTCTTGAAGGCCACGGTCAATTCATGTTCTGCTGTTGAGAACCACCACGCCAGCAATAAGCAGAATCAGAACAAGGCCTTGGAGAAGATCCAGATTCTAGCTGCCCCCAACTCGAAGAAGAACCCACTTGTTGATAAAGAGGCCGCCAACCGTTGTCCTCCTCCTCCTAGACTTCCTGCGACTCATCAACTCCCCTCTGAGGAGCAGAAGAAAGCTAATGGCCGATACTCCGGCCGGCAGCTGGTGCAGTGGAACCGTAAGACTCCAACCCCGGAAACATTTCAGTTATTTCAGCTAACAGTGATTGATACAGGTCAGCCGGTTGCCGAGAAGTTCTTGCTCGCACTCACCTTTGAATGCGAAAAGAAGGGCATCGAATTACCATGGGACGATGCTGCCCATAGGTTCCGGCCCAACGTCACTGGCAACGCGGCCAGACAATACGTCGCAAAGATGCCCAAGCGACACCTCGAGGAGGGACGAGTCGTGCCCCCACGAGGAAACCTCAGACGGTTCGACAACCGAGACACCCGGGGAGTTGTCCTGGATAAGGACACAGGCGAACCGCGTGCTGTCTCCTGGGACGAGGACATTGACGAGCCGGATAAGTTTCCCGTCGATGAGCAGACGGTCACGATGGAAACAGAGGAAGACGCCGCCTCCGCTCTGACCCAGGTAGGCCAACTGTCCTCATTTCGAGTTCCGTTATTGACGATAGCTAGCACCCCTCAACGGTCCCGTCATTCGAGGACTACTGGCAACAGGGAGCGATCCAGCAGTCTATCGACCCTGCCCTAGGAGGATTCCCTCTCATGGGAGATTTTGCCCCTATGGGAGGATTTCCTCAGATGGGAGGACCCCAGATGGGATTTCCAATCGCCCCCGACCATAGCTTCAACATAGAGACGGCGGCGGGCTCACAGCCTTTCAGTAGCTACGCCGAGCTTCCCAGCGCACACCAGCTCCCTTCGCAACCCGGCACGATGGCTGGTGTTCCCAATCTTGACTGGGCCGAGGCCTTTGGAAATGCCAACAACGGCAGCGAACTTCCTCCGCCTGTTCCTGATTGGGTAAAGTACATGGCCGAAGATATCCAAGACGATGATGGCGACTTTGGAAAGGGCAAGTAAACTTGCTCAGTGGAAGTGTCTTGGGCTAGGTGATGAAGGAACGACGAAAACGGCATTTGGTTTTTACTGGGATTGAGAGATACGCGGAATAATAGATACCCACGATGACTTGATAATTGGCCCAATTGACTTCTCTCCGAAATCTCGCAGTATTGCTTTCGTCGTGAATGATGCACACAATACATGGATGAGTTGATGATTTCCACAAGTAGAAAATTCTGAAATCATCTGCGTTTCGTACATTTGAAACAGCACCATCCTTCGAGTCCCCCGGGGGAAGATTGCATTCTCGTCCGCTCCAGATGTCTTCATTGCCAATCGAACGCTTTCAGTCATATTCCAAGATATATACACAGAGGGGCAAAGCATGCATCAACCCAATCCAGCAAATATTTGAGTTTGTAGTTATGAAGCAGCCCCCCTGCAAAAAGACTACAGCAAAATTCACCTTATTTGCAGGCCAAATTCTAGAAACATTATATAGGTATTTTAACTTCTACTTTCTACTAATTAAGGAAAGTAATATAGAAACTTTATATATTTCTACTAATAAGTAAAGCTTTATATAAAGTTATATATATATATATTAGCTAAATAGACTAGTAGAATAGTAATAATATTACCTATATAATATAAAGTAAATGAGTATAATAATATATATAGTAAAGCTAATCATATCAAAGTTAAGTAGATTATTAAAGCTTTTATAAATTAGAGATAGCTTTACTAAACCTCTTAGTAAAGTAAATACTATTATATAAAAGATAACTCTTTAACTAAAGAAGTTATCTTAAGAGGTTTTTATAACTAAAAGTATAAACGCTCTATTATATATAAAACTTTATATCTATTCTTTTTCTTATTTATTATTAACTTATAATAAATTCTTTATAATATTTATATTATATAAGGAATATAATAATATTAACTTTATATAAAATATAATTTTTAATAAAGAAATTACTATAGCTATTACTAAAAAGTATATAATCTATATATTAGATAAAACCTTTAAATTCATTATATATTTTTCCACAATCAGCAGTATATTATCAAAGTAGCATTAGATAGAGCCCTTAAGAATACCCTAAGAGGCCCTATCCATACTGCGATCAGGGCGATAGCTACTGCTGAAGGCCTCTAAGCAGAGGCTGTGTAGGTTTCTAGCCATCCCGAGGAGTGGCCCTTCTTCGCGCAGGCCCTCCGCAATGCCAAGGCAGAGGCAGCTCAGTATGGGAACATCCAGCAAATATTTACAATATAAACAATGCACTGAAAAACAAATCCCAGGTTTACATGCCATTGGCAATCATGGCATTGATAGATAATCTGAACGTGACGATCCGCGTTTGTCTCGCTCCATTCGGTGTCATGGTTCAGGCCATACGGCCAGATGTGTTGGCCGCCGAAACTAATCTTGGCGTCGTCGCCGTCCCAGGACTTCAGCAGAGGTAGAGCTGTCTTCCAGTCGCCGGAAGAGCACAGAGAGTTGAAGGCCGTAGTTAGGCCGACGCCGAGCGTGTGCGCGATCTCATGGAGTGCCGTCCGCTCGTCCATGAAGGCGCGGTCTGAACCAAACCTGAGGACACCGCTGACGCCCGCTTCCGCCGTCGGCACGCCCGGCGTGTATTCGACCGTGACGGACTTGCTTGCGGTGCCCAGCTTTGCGTGCCGGGCGACGGCGGCTCTCATCGTGGCTTCGATTTTCTCGTAGGCCTCGATCTGGTCGGATGTAGGGTTTGCTGCCTTGTCCAATGTCCAAGTGATTGCGCTCTGCGCAACAGAGACGGATGCGGCGAAAACGGCAAGGAGAGAGAGCTTCATTTTGGCTGGCTAAGAGGGTATTTCGGAACTATCAACTACGATGCAAAGGGATCGAAAATAGAAACTGAGCAAAGCTGGATGAAAGACACAATGGCGCTGATGAGATGGGAATCGAAAACTTGGTCCTCGACTGTCTCTTCTTATGTATTCGTCCGAAGCCCACGTCGGGGAAATAGGAGAATCTATGGGTATCTATCTATTCAATGCTCATGTCTAACCGAACCATACATACCTGCTGTTGGGTTATATCTATTAGGGTTGCTTGGTCCTTTACCATATCTGTACCTTGCTGTATATTGTACCATACATACCTGCGGTTAGGTTCCCAATCAAGTGACGATGCGGCTGACATCTCGAGAGGGGGGGCGTCACGGCACTCACTCGCCAACGTTTCAAGTACAGTAAAGTTGGAGCAATAATGGGTAGAAGTAAATAAACGTCTATGAAAAGAAACAGCTGACAATGCGTGACAATTGGATGCGACAGAGACCTGCAAGATGAAATAGAGTGTTCGGTCAAGTTAAGCTTGAAGAGGCTATCGGAGTGTCGATGAGTTCATAAGGAGTTGCCGAACCCCATGCAGCTATTCCCAACCAACAGCGAGAACCCATGTCAATAAATCGGCATTGTTCGCGGGACAAGACCATGTGCGGATGTGAGAATGGGACAGACGCCATTGGAAGACGGTGGAAATGCACAAGGTGGCGCTAGTCCGCTTTGGTCATGGCGCACCAATGGGGCCTGGTTTAGCCGAACGTCCGAGATAAATTTTTGGAGCCGGCGCAACAGGAAGCTTCTCCAATTCTATCGTCACCGAACCTTTTCTCCTCCTCGAACTCCTTGTGAGCGAAACTCTGCGCTTCAAAACGGCGATACGATTCAATCCCTAGTTCTGTATTTTTTTTTCTCTTACCTAGATACCCTCATAATAAGATCCAAGATGCACCGCGCTCTTACATCCCGCGCCAGAGCGTCCATCGCTTCCTCCGCCGCTACGAAGTCCCGCCCCGGTGCCGGCCTGGGCCAACAGCTTCGCTTTGCCCACAAGGTTCGTCTATATGCCTCGTAGTAGTACCAATGATATTGGTCAAGGTATACTGACTCGTCCTGTAGGAGCTGAAGTTCGGCGTCGAGGGCCGCGCTTCTCTGCTGGCTGGTGTTGAGACTCTGGCCAAGGCCGTTGCCACGACACTTGGTCCCAAGGGCCGTAACGTTCTCATTGAGTCCAGCTATGGCTCCCCCAAGATCACAAAGGGTACGATACAGCTCGAGGAAGCTACAGAATGAACGTCAAGCTGACTGTGAGTGCAGACGGTGTAACTGTCGCCAAGGCCATCACCTTGAAGGACAAGTTCGAGAACCTCGGTGCCAGACTCCTCCAGGATGTTGCCTCCAAGACCAACGAGACCGCCGGTGACGGTACCACGACCGCCACTGTCCTCGCCCGCGCCATCTTCTCTGAGACCGTCAAGAACGTCGCCGCTGGCTGCAACCCCATGGACCTGCGCCGTGGTATCCAGGCCGCCGTCGATGCCGTCGTCGAGTACCTCCAGAAGAACAAGAGGGATATCACCACCAGCGAGGAGATTGCTCAGGTCGCCACTATCTCTGCCAACGGTGACGAGGCTCTCGGCCGCATGATCGCCAACGCCATGGAGAAGGTCGGCAAGGAGGGTGTCATCACCGTCAAGGAGGGTAAGACTCTGGTTGATGAGCTCGAGGTCACCGAGGGTATGCGCTTCGACCGTGGTTTCGTCTCCCCCTACTTCATCACCGACGCCAAGTCCCAGAAGGTCGAGTTCGAGAAGCCCCTGATCCTCCTCTCCGAGAAGAAGATCTCCGCCGTCCAGGACATCATCCCCGCTCTTGAGGCCTCCACCCAGATGCGCCGCCCTCTCGTCATCATTGCTGAGGACATCGATGGAGAGGCTCTCGCCGTCTGCATTCTCAACAAGCTCCGCGGCCAGCTCCAAGTCGCCGCTGTCAAGGCCCCCGGCTTCGGTGACAACCGCAAGTCCATCCTCGGTGACTTGGCTGTCCTGACCAACGGTACCGTCTTCACCGATGAGCTCGACATCAAGCTCGAGAAGGCTACCCCCGACATGCTCGGCTCCACTGGCTCCATCACCATCACCAAGGAGGACACCATCTTCCTGAACGGTGAGGGTGGCAAGGACTCCATTGCTCAGCGCTGCGAGCAGATCCGTGGTGTCATGAACGACCCCACCACCTCTGAGTACGAGAAGGAGAAGCTCCAGGAGCGTCTGGCCAAGCTCTCTGGTGGTGTCGCCGTCATCAAGGTCGGTGGCTCCTCCGAGGTCGAGGTCGGCGAGAAGAAGGACCGCTTCGTCGATGCCCTGAACGCTACCCGCGCCGCCGTTGAGGAGGGTATCCTGCCTGGTGGTGGTACCGCCCTCATCAAGGCCTCTGCTCTGGCCCTGAAGGACGTCAAGACCGCCAACTTCGACCAGCAGCTCGGTGTCAGCATCGTCAAGAACGCCATCACCCGTCCTGCCCGCAGCATCGTCGAAAACGCCGGTCTTGAGGGCTCTGTTATCGTTGGTAAGCTCACCGACGAGTACGCCAACGAGTTCAACAAGGGCTTCGACAGCGCCAAGGGCGAGTACGTCGACATGATTGCTGCCGGTATCCTCGACCCCTTCAAGGTCGTCCGCACCGGTCTCGTTGACGCCAGCGGTGTTGCCTCTCTGCTCGGCACCACCGAGGTCGCCATCGTTGAGGCTCCCGAGGAGAAGGGCCCTGCCGCCGGTGGCATGGGCGGTATGGGAGGTATGGGCGGCATGGGCGGCATGGGTGGAATGATGTAAAAAAGTAAATGATGACCAAGTCTTGTATTAAAAACTCAAAAAGGGGGCATGGCACGGTGTTACTATTTAAAAAGGATGGATAACTGCGGCCCTTTGTACTAATCTCCCCTCTTTACCCCTTTCTACAGAGATTCCCCGAGGGGATTGAAGAGATCTGTATGTACAATAGCACTAGCAAGTTATGTTGCATGAAGAAACCAAATCAGTTAAAGATAAAAACACATGGGTCTTATTTTTTCTGTGCCAGAGCGAAGTCGTCGTCGTCGTTGCCGCTGCTCTTGTTGCTGTCGTCGTCATCTCTATCGTTGATATTACTTCTCCTATTATCGTCTGTCCTTATTTCTACCATTGTTGTCCTCAGTAGGAGGATTAAGTCAGTACACTGGACATACAGCTGCGCAGACATAGGAAGGCTCTCTCATTAAAGAAACCAAGCTAGCCAAAGCCAAAGCCAAAGCGACAAGCGAGACAACAAAGACATTGATCCATTCTCGTGCATTGTGAAGAGTGCACGGTGACGTCTGTCAACTGATAAGGGGGGCCTGAAGCTACCTAGGTAAGTGCTCTACAGTGGGTGAGAACAGCCCACAGCCACTACTTTAGTTGACTTAGGTTGTCGGTAAAGCTTCTTTTGGCCTGGAGCTGACAGGTGTCTCGAGGCAGCCATTGAAACGCCCACCTCAAGCTCACGGGCGGCGGGGAGCAGGCACCCATCATCATGCTATTGTGATTTTTATCTGGCAACCTGCTGCTGCAGAGCTACCTTACAATGAGAGAGAGAGAGGCGCATGGCTTCAATTGCCCTGCTTTTGGACTCCATCCCACCAAGTCAGCTATTGACTGCCGCCTGGGGGTGATTCGTCAACGCTCTGTGGCTGACGCAGTGTCACGTGCTGTGCTCTAATCTCACCGGGACAACAACCCCACCATGCGGGTGTTTTTCTCGCCCGCTTCCCCTCCACGGTGACCCAACTCACTCCGGTTCTGTCCAAGATACCTCACCAACCCGACGCAAGCTGTTGCCTTTCCTGCCACCACCACCATCCCAAGTGCAGCATCCCCCCCACGGCCGGACCACTTGATCTCATGTAGGCTTCCATTTCCTCCCTCCCCTCTGCAATCATTTTAAAAATTGCCTATATCCAATTTCCCGTCTCTTTTTTTGCTCCTGCTAATCTGCTCTCAGCCCACTTTCCCGCCTTCTCTCCTAGCCACACCCCCGCCATAAACCAGCATCATGGTGAGTACTAAAAGCTTCCAAGGATCAGCCGTCTACCTAGACACCAATCTAACCACCAACGCAGTCTCAATCCGGGTTCGTTCTCACCTTTCCGCAGAGCCTCACCTCCCGCGCCGACGACATTTGACGGGCGATTGAACACCGCTCGTTCGATGACGATCCCACCCGAGGCGGAGCAGGCCAAGCTGGCTCCATCCCCATTCCCGCGAAGAACCGCCGCAGTGCTAACCCGACTCCCCCACCAGAGCGACCGTCTCGCAGGAGTGCATAACGGCCTACAACGACCTTAAGCTCTCCAAGAAGTACAAGTACATCATCTACAAGCTGTCGGATGACAACAAGGAGATCGTCGTCGAGGAGGCTTCGGCCGATAAGGACTGGGAGAACTTCCGTGAGAAGCTGATTAACGCTACCTCCAAGACCAAGAGCGTATGCAATCCCTCGTTACCTCTCGTCATGAAGCTAGAGGCCAATGTTAACTTTGCATCAGGGTGCTGTTGGCAAGGGCCCCCGTTACGCCGTCTACGACTTCGAGTACAGCCTTGCCTCTGGCGAGGGTGAGCGGTATGCAGCCCCGCACCAACCGTCTTGGAGAAGCATCAGGAGCTAACCCGAGAACAGCAACAAGATCACCTTCCTTGCCTGGTCCCCCGATGATGCCGGTGTCATGGTCAGTTCTTGTCGCGCGGTTTATATCAATTCCTCTTGTCGCTAACACCCGTGCAGGCCAAGATGATCTACGCCTCTTCCAAGGAGGCCCTCAAGCGCTCCCTGACCGGCATTGCGACCGAGCTCCAGGCCAACGATGCCGATGACATCGAGTACGACTCCATCCTCAAGACCGTCAGCAAGGGCATGGCTGGTTAAATTTCCCACTTTTCTACCAAACTCCCCCCTTCCTTTCGCGAGAAGGAGCATACACTTTGGCGGTTGCAAGTCTTCCGGGACGACTGACGACGATCATGGAGAGTTTACGACGAATATGGAGAGCCTACCTTCTCCCCTGACGATTTCTGGGTCTGAGTGCTTTCCACTCCGCGTTTCTTTTGGGGCGTGACAAGTAAATTTCCAGATTTGGCTGCCCGCCTGGTCATACCAACCCATTGCCATAGGAAAACATCTCATGCTGGAATGCAGAGCATTCTTGTTGTTGCCCGACGACAGAATCACTTCTTTATTAGACCATTATCTATGCTTCAGTCCGTTTCCGTGATGCTACGTCATGATTTTGTTGCCTGGTAGTTTGAGCGCCACAGCGCCGACAGTTCCTCCGCCTTCTTCTCGTCCTTGAGTCTTTGCAGCAAGAAGCCCTTGAGATCGTCCCAGAACTCTGCCGTCTCCAGTGCAGCCTCACCGATCTCTCCTTGCGCGGGGTCGTTCGCGACGGGGGCGGCGGGCTCAGCCGGCTTGACCGCCGCGGCTCCACCAATGACCATGACCGAGAATTCCACCGTGGACTGATCCTCCGCGAGCAAGTCCTTCAAGACCTTGCTGTCCGGCACGGGCTTCTTGTTGTGCAGCAGCTTCATCTTGTCCACGGGTATGCGCGACTGCGACTCGACCTGCGTCTTGATGTCCAGGATCGACGTGTTGAGCGATTGAGATGACAGCTTGATATCCAAAGGCGGGTTGCGGAGAGACTTGAGAGAGACGGTGACGGATCGTTCTTGGCCGGGTGCGAGGCTCGTGGGCTTGCTCATCGCCTTGGGCATCTTGGGCAGGATGTACTGCACACATCAGTCAGCTAGCTCGCGCAACGTGCAGATAGATATATGCAACTTACAGGAGGGCGAGGAGGGAAGTTCTTGGGGTCCTCGACATGATCGGCCGACAGCTTGGCCGGCCGCGACTCCAAGGTCGCCAGGAACTGCCTGGCAAAGACCACTTCAGCCATGTTTGCGTTTGGGCGTTGGGAGTTTTTGCTCAAGCGATATTCGATAAAGGTCGAGAGGTCGTTGGTTAAGGTTTATTCTAAGCTATTCGTATGTATAGCGGAAGTGAGGTGAAGGTTAAAGCGATCGTCTTGGGGCGTCGTCGTCCTTGGTGTCGTCCTTGAGCTTCGTCCGGTGTCTCCTCTGACTAGGAGTAGGTACGCAAGGAGGGATGGCGGGGCGGAGGCAGGAGCTGGGGTGTGGAGCACGAGCGCTGGACGGCGTGGCTTTCCCTGATAGGGATCACAATCTTATCGGCGGATGGCCCGTGCTCGATAAAAAAAGTTTTGGAGGGACCATTCTAGCGCAGTAATTTTTTGGCGACCGTCCCGCCGGTGTCTGTTGTACATCCTCCATCACCATATACCCATTTCCCTTTCCCCCCAGTTTCGACACGAATTGACCGGTCAAAATGGGTGTCGGACGTCGCATGAAGAAGCAGGGTCCTCCCGAACCCCTGTCGGAGGCTCACTACGCAAAGTTGAAGCGCAAGGCCGGTATTCCTGTCGAAGCCGTCGAGGCCCCCGAAACCAAGAAGAGGAGGACGACGAAGCCCGCGCCCAAGGCCAATGGCGCGAAGAACAAGGAGGTGAAGAGGGGCAAGGTTGCGGTTCCCGGCGAAATGGCGCCCAAGGTCACCAAGAAGAAGTCAAAGAAGCAGGCCGAGCCCGACTCGGACGGGGAGATGTCTGACGACGACGACCTTGGCGACTTCAACGCTGGCGACTCCGACATGAGCGACGAGGCCGACGAATTCTCCGACCTGGACGCGGAAAAGCTCGGCGACGACTTCATCGATGGCTCGGACGACGATTCCGTCGTTGACTCCGACGAGGAGCGCGGCGGCGGCGGAAAGCACATGTTCTCGGAGGACGAAGAGGACTCGGACGGCGAGGAGCAGCTCACAAAAGCCAACATTGAGGGTCTCGCGAGACGGCTTGACAAGCAGCTTGCCGAGGAGGCGGAGGATGCGGAGGCTGAACTGCAGGAGATGGGTCTGCAGACAAACATTGACGGCGACAAGCCCCATATTCTGGACGACGAGGACGATGAGCTCGTCTCCAAGACCAAGACCATGCTTGCGCCGGATCTGCAGCTTCTGAGAACCAGAATCACCGAGAACATCAGAGTGCTTGACGACTTCGCCAACCTGCACGAGGAGGGCCGCTCGCGCGCCGAGTACACCTCCCAGCTTATCAAGGACATCTGCGCGTACTACGGCTACTCCGAGTACCTCGCCGAGAAGCTCTTCAACCTGTTTTCCCCTCGTGAGGCCTTCGCCTTCTTCGAGGCTAACGAGTCTGCTCGTCCCGTCGTCCTCAGGACAAACACCCTGCGCACCCATCGTCGCGATCTCGCCCAGGCCCTCATCGGCCGTGGCGTCACCTTGGAGCCCGTCGGCAAGTGGTCCAAGGTCGGTCTGCAAGTCTTCGAGTCCAACGTCCCTCTTGGTGCCACCCCCGAGTACCTCGCCGGTCACTACATCCTGCAAGCCGCCTCTTCGTTCCTCCCCGTCATGGCCCTCGAGCCTCAGGAGAACGAGCGCTGCCTGGATATGGCCGCCGCTCCCGGTGGTAAGACGACGCACATGGCCGCGATGATGAAGAACACCGGTGTCATCGTCGCCAACGATCCCAGCAAGCAGCGTGCCAAGGGTCTGATCGGTAACATCCACCGTCTGGGTGCGCGCAACGTCGTCGTCTCCAACTACGACGCCAGAGAGTTTCCCAAGCCCATGGGTGGCTTCGATCGTGTGTTGCTCGATGCGCCTTGCTCTGGTACTGGTGTTATTGCCAAGGATGCCAGCGTCAAGACCAACAAGACGGAGAGGGATTTTATGCTGCTGCCGCACACGCAGAAGCAGCTTATCCTCGCCGCCATCGACTCTGTCAACCACCACAGCAAGACCGGCGGTTACATCGTCTACTCTACCTGTTCCGTAACTGTCGAGGAGAAGTAAGTCTCATCCATGTCTCAGCCTACTACCAAGAAGTACATGCTAACGTACTCCCAGTGAGGCCGTCGTGCAATACGCCCTCTCCCGCCGCCCCAACGTCAAGCTCGTCGACACCAACCTCCCCTTCGGACGCGAGGGCTTCACCAGCTTCATGGGCAAGAAGTTCGACCCCTCCCTGAAGCTCACCCGCCGCTACTACCCGCACACCTACAACGTCGATGGCTTCTTCGTCGCAAAGTTCCAGAAGATCGGCCCCACGCCCGACAAGGCCGCCTCCCGCGACAGGTCCGGCCCCATCGCCGGCGAGCCCGTCGACAAGACGCCCATCACCACCGACGACGAGAGCGGCGCCGACGGCAACAAGGACGACTTTGGCGGCTTCGACGAGGAGGAGGACACCGAGTACATCGACAAGGCCAAGCGCAACGCCATGCGCAGGAGAGGTCTCGACCCCAACGCGCTGTCCAAGGAGAAGAAGGGCGGCAAGAAGGAGGAGACGCAGAAGACGGAGACCGCCGAGTCTTCCGAGGCCGAGGTTGAGAAGCCCGCTGAGAAGACGCCCGAGAAGAAGGAGAAGAGCAAGAAGAAGGCGGAGAAGAAGGCCGAGGAGAAGACGGAAGAGAAGGCGACGACAACAGAAAAGAGCCCCAAGGCCAAGAGTCCCAAGCAAAAGAAGGACAAGAAGGGCGGAAAATAAGTGGGAACGTTCTGTTTGCATAGGGAGGGAAAGTTAGATGATTTCTCAGTGTTATCTCTCTGTGGTTGTAGACGAGAGAGCATCATGGCGAGGTCCAAGGGTCGTCGTTGTCGAACCTATTTTGTTGTCGTTGCATTATAATTACCTATTACTAGGGAGTCGGAGCTCAAAAAGGGACTCGGGAAATAAAAAAAGTTTGTATGAACAATAAGCCGTTTGAAAAGCCTTTGCCGAGGCTGCCGTTGCATCAAGTGTCGTTTGATAGTTTGCCGTTCCAGAGTCGCCTTGCGTCCTGGCCTTGAGGCCATGTTCGTCTGTCACCGTTCGACTATTTTGCCATCACGATCACCAATGCCCAACCGGCCCGAGAATGAAAGAAATGGGATATTACTAGTCCAGTACTCCAAAAAACCCAAAATTGTCTAAGCAAAGCTTTTCATCAAACGTCTCTCATGTGCCAGCCAACCACCACCTTGATGGAAGTGTGAAGGCCTCTGCTTGTCCTTAAAACAAGAACCAAAAAAATGCAATCGAAGCATGGTACAGAATCGACGCAAAAAGCAATCCAGCCCTAAAGCTTCATAATGAACCCTTTCCAGTCCAAGCCTGGATGGTATCAGAGCCATTTCTTCCCATGGTGTCTTCCCTGTTGTTCATAGCGGTCGGCGTTCCCTTGCCGGACCTCTTTTCGTCATCAAAGCCGTATGTCGTGAGTCCTTCCACAACCTTTTCGGAGAGTATGTTATACAGAGGAATCCAGAATGTCGTCACCGGAATCGTCGTCGTAAATGCTGCTCGTCGTAACCTTCTCCCAAAAAACGCCTCCGTCGTAACTCGCCCGGCGTTCGCCAACCGAAGCCGGGGGTATTAAAGTGATATGCGTGAAACCAAAAAAAGAGCATCAAGTGCCTCCCGAAGTAGAATGCTGTTCGTGAGATGAGGTCTACTGGGCAGTCCTCTGATATAATAGAATGTCGCGAATCGCCCACCGCCATGCTTCGCGATCTCTTTCGCCGACACCCAGCCACTTCTCGCACTTCTTTCTCCACCTGTCTTCCTCTTCTCTCTGTCGTCGGATGAACTCTGGACCGACGTCGAACTCTTCGCCGACCAACCATTCATCCTTGACCTCGCTGACGCGACCGGGCTCTTTGGAGTCGCCCTGGTTGTCTTCAAGGTCTGGAATGTCTTTGAAGACGTCTTCGTCGTCATCCAGGGCGTTGAAGCCGTCCATGGGATCGGGGATCTCGGACTTGGGATTCGACTGGGGACCGAGCTTCAGCCAGCACATGTTCTGTGGGTCGAAGACCATTCCCCCCACAACTTGCACGCCCTTCGTATGGCTAATATTCGTAATTAAAGCCGGTCGGGGGGTAGTGGCTTCCTTATCGCGCATCATGTGAGGTGGTAGTGATGCTGTCGAAGGTGACGACGCGGGTGGTGGGTCGAACGCGTTCAAGACATTTTCGTTGCCTTCCCAACGGAAAGTGTCAGGGTTGTAAAACATGCCCTGGAGATCTGGGGTGGTGTTAGCATTTGAAATAAAGAGTGATTGATCGATGCACTTACGTTGTGGCGTCTTCTCTTTGTTCATATTTGATATGAGATGAGGTTTTAGTTGAGGAGGGTTCCTCTTCGTCTTTGATCGTACCGATGGTTGCGGCATTCCGGGGCTGAAAGTGTTCCTCGACGATGACAGTTGCGAGACGCGTGAAGACGTGAGAGGCGCCAGTGGGCCTGATGGAGCTCTTTGGGCAAGCGAGGTCTCCCGAGCAATTCGGCTAGCCTGGGTATCACGGGCAAAATGGGGCGTGTAATCAGACCTCGCAGGGGATGAGAATGGTGCCGGGGAGGGTGTGGTAGTCCGATCGGTCTGCACATTCTGGTAAATCTTATTGCGAAGCGGCGCCTTGACAGGTTGTCGGATGAATTTCGCCTCGGATTGAGCTGAGGTAGGCAAATCGTCGAAGGCATCCAGCTCATGACCATCGCCGAAATTGCGGGTCCGGTGAGGCTTGGTCATGTTGCGGAAAGAAGAGCTGGAGAAGACATCGTGAGTGATATGATCCGAATGCCGATTGAGCCTCTTGGGACTAGGTGAGCGCATCGTAGACCTTGAGAATGCCCTCGAAGTCGGCCGCAAGTCCAAGGCATTCTCGGAATCATGGCGTCGGAAGGTGCGAGAAGTTTTCGTAGTCACGTGTTGCGACTGGGATTGAGATGCCCCAGCAGGGAGGAAAGGTCGTCGTTGCTGAGCAGCGAAGCTTTCCACCGTTGCAGGGCGGGTCCTCTCGACTGGCGTTTTCGGTCGCGCCCCTGACTGTTGGCGGTTACCCTCAGTTCTCGAAGGTGGTCTCTCAAAACGAGAGGCAGTCGGCTTGGCAGGTGAGCTGGAGGGCTTTATGTTCATAGCTGGTAAAGACCTCTTGAATCTCAGCAACTGCGAGTGAGTGGTTGTCGGCTCATTCCGCAGCGATGTCGTGGATGTCCTAGAGCCAAGTTCTCTTCTGCGAGGAGTGGCCGGAAGCAAAGAATGAGCAGGAGAAGGCGTTGTGGGTGTAGGCATGCTGTGAACACTAGTGACTGAGGACTGAGATTGATGGCCGAGACGAGACTGAGACCTCCGTGAGCGAGAAAGGATGGGCCCGCCGCTCTCAGAAACAGGCTCCAGGGCGGACATTGTCCTCTCATGACTTGGCCGCGGCAATCGAGATGGCGTTGGCTTGCTTGAAAATGTGAGGGAGACGGCCGTCTTGGGGCGCGCTGGGCTTGGTGGTCGATTGTTGTTGAGGCGAATGTTACGGTGAAGTGTGAGCTTGCCGGGGTTGAACACATCGCCGTCGCCGACATCAAGGCCATCCAGCAGGTCTTCGCCCTCCACCTCAGCTTTTGGCGTCTTGAGGTTCGGTGGCTCTTCTTCAACCGGTCGGGCAGGCGAGCGGCTGAGCTTTCTCCTCTTCAGCCTCTCCTCGAAGTTGACAGGGCCAGTTGGCAGCACGAGTCCCTCAAACGTTTCATCCTCACTCTCAGCGGTGAACGAACTTGATACGCTGGGGCTCATGGCCGAGACGGACGAGCTTCTATTAGAGCGAGCGTCTCGTCGAGTGCCTCCATAACGAGTACCGAGGCTGCCCTCACCCCAGTCCAAGTCATCGGCCTGGTTTGATGGTGTCTTCGGAATGTCTTTGCGAGTAGAAAGCTTGAGCTTACCATCAGAAGGCAGCTCAAAGTCATTCTCGAAGTCGTCATCCAAAGGCTTCACGTTGCCCTTGGAAGGCGTCGGGGGAGTGATAAGTGAAATAGGTTTCGGAGGCCGTGTCTTCGATACTTTGATGGTCTCCGATCCATCGCCGAAGAAGTCGTCATCATCGTCGTTGTCTCGGAACTTGTCCAAGTTGATAGCACCCGATAATGTGCTCGTCCTCGATTCAGTTGACTCTCTGCGGTCGGTCGACTCTCTTCGGTCCAATAATGACGGGGCAAGAGGGGTCTTCATAGGCTTCGTCGGGCTGGTTTGGCTGGAGCCCCCGCTAACTTGCCTGAGCATATCGGGGAACTTAGAAGCGTCCTGAGGCTTGATGCGAAGTCCGTCCTTTGAATCCGGTAGCACCAAGTCGTCCTCCCAATCGTCCTGGATAATTTTCTTAATCTTTCTTCCTCCCAGTCGCTTGATGGTGCCGCCCATGAGAGCGGATGAAGGTACGTTTTTGGGTATGGGAATGCCGGCTTGTGTAGCTGCGGCTATAGCGTCCATGGTCGACTTCTCATCGTCGCCGGGAACATGTACATGGGTCTCCTCGTCAATGACCGATTCGAGTTCGGAGCGAAAGGACATGTGGGAGGACGCCGAATCACGACGTGGCGGGGCATTGGTGGTGGCGGTAGATGCGGTCCGGAAAGTAAGGTCGTCGGATTCGATTTGGAAGTCGTCATCGTCCCAGTCCTCGATGTCGAGGTCGACCGCCGGCAGGCGTGGCTTGAGGCGTAAGGGTTCCATACTTTGGATAAGTTGATTTGTTTTGAGTCGCGCAAAAAGAAATTGAGTTCAAGGGGGACCGAGTCGTTACCCGAAAGACTCTCGACAGCGCTGTTCCGGTCGTCAATGAAGCAAGATCATATCGTCAACAATGACAGCAGTTATGGCTCGTCGACATAATCTGGGGGGAAACGGTTGTTGTCGCAAGCAAAGGTGGTGTGTCGGGGAGCGTCGTGTGGTGCGCAACTGTTTTCTTTTTGTGGGAGGGCGTAGCAATGGCGTCGTGGATTGTTATGTGTCGGTATCGTGGAATTTTGGGGAATGTGCGATGTGTCGGCTATTGGTAGAATGTTGCCAGAGACGCAAACAGATGCAGACAAGAGCAAGTGGAGGTCGATCCAAGAGGACGGTCGTAGGGGTACTGTAGTTCGGTTCAGGGTGCAGTATCTCGTCGAAGGGTGACGTTGCGGAGTAGTAGAAGGAGATCAGGGCAGTCGTGAGGTCGGGGGGATTGACTGGATTTGCGTCCTTGTTGGACGATACTTGGGTGAAGCAAAAATGGCTGGGAAGCTGGGGGTCGATGGACCGGGCCAAACAAAGCGAGGTGGGCTGGGTCGGGTCCAGTCAGCAATGGAAAGGGTGTGGAAGGAGGTGGTGGGTGGCCCCCGGTGAAGGCACAGTGGGCGTTGCGTGGTAGTGTTGGCGTTCTGGTGTGGTGTTGTTCAGTGCCGAGTGCGGTGGTGTACAGTGTGAGGTGCGGTGAGTGAGCGCAGCCCAGGTGAATACGTACACCACAGGATGCAGGAGCACCGCGTGCGTGGTGGATGATGTGGTGGTGGGAGGCTGGTGTTGCGCTGGGGGGATCCCACTACAACTGGGCGGACACGCAGACACTGCAGGCAGTGTCGACGAAATAATCGGGTCACTTCCATTTATATTTCTCGTTTATGATCTCAGGATCTTCACACCCGACTCCTCTGTTCCTCTGTTACTGTGCTGTAGCATGGCGGATATCCTGCTTGTTGTTTTCTCTCTCTGCTTTGTTCGCCACTGATCTCCCCGGCGCATTCGAATGGGGGAATCGGCGAGGATGAACATGTGCGGATCCCAGGTTCCTGGGCAGCATGTGGCGGGACACCGGATGACCTGCACAGAATGAAGAGTGGGCAGAACAGGTGGGAAGGACGGGACGAGCTGCGCGGGACTCGCAACGGGGGCCCCAGGGCACCCAGCAGTGAATCATAATTTTTCCCAGGGTGCTCCACGTGATTTAGTGGAGACATCAGACGGTGAGCACCCTCATCGCGCAGCGGACTCCTTGGGCAACTGCCAGGGGATGCGGGGCTGGTTGCACCTGCACGATTTTGACGCGTTCGAGGCGCGCCTTGCCCTCTGCTGTCCGCCGGTCCAGGGACGGCAGGGCCACCAGGGGACGGCGCTGCACCTATTTGATGAGAAAACGAAGAGCACCAAATCATGGGCTGCAGACTGCACTCCATCTGTTTCACCATTCGACGATATTATTCCTGATACTGCTCTTTCGTCTGTTAAGGTTAAATGCGTTCGAGTACAGGCTGGGGATTTTTGCATCGTCAAAAATTAAGTAGCGAACTGCTTCGTGGGTTGCTGGCAGAGAGCTCCTGGGCTGTTTGTTTACACCTGCTCTGCTGTTGACAGTTTATACCAAAACAACCTACGTACTCCCGTTCGCTGCTTGCTTGCACTTGCCACTTCCTGCGTTCCATCCTCCGTGCCCTCCGTCCCGTTCCTGTACAAACCTAAAGCGGCAGCAACCTTGGTGCTCTCTCTGTACCTTGCATGAGGTACCGAGAACGTGAACGTTCGGCACTTGCGCTTGTATCAGGCTGCCTGAGGCGCCGCGTGGGCTGCCTGCCACTCGACGCACCAACAGCCAGCCATCATCGTCTGCCTGTCTGAGCGCCGCAGCTGCCTAGCTCCCAGCCCGAGGACCCTCGAGACCCTCGAAACTTCATAACCAGCCGTTGACTCAGACAATTGAATGCCTTCATGTTTGAACCCTTTGGCAAAAACAAGCTCACAGCTTTGCTGTCATCTGTTTACACTCCCACCGGCACCAAATTTCTCTCCGAATGCCCAGTGCTGTCTCAGTCTGACCTTCCCCCGCCTGTCTTACCTCTTGCACCTGCCTACCTTGCCTACCTAAGGTACCTACCTACCTTCTACCTCGACCACTCAACCAACCAAATTTGGAACTGTATCACGGTCCAAGCGGCAATACTGATCGTCCTCGGGGTCGACATTCCATACAGGTACTCTCAAAAATTTAATCACGCAGACCCTGAGACCTGACGCCAGAAAGAAAGAGACGAAACTTGCGAGAAGCTGTCAGGCTAGATCAGAGTCGTTGGATACACCTACTCCTTCCTCATTATTACTTCATTTCGGAAACCAGCTACGGCAATCTATCTCACTCATCAACAGCCATGGCATCCGGCCACGTTCTCCGGTTTCCCCGGTCGGATAAGGAAGGCGCTTTTGTCATCGTTCATGTCACGCCAACTCGTTCCAAGGCCTTGGACGTCAAATTGGTGGGCACCGATGGCGTGGAGCCCTATGCCGTCTCATGTGAGTTGCACGCTCGTCATCCCGCTCTCCCTGGCCGACGATCACCACGGCCCGGTTGGGTGGGTCTTGGCCGACGTTGTTTCATGCGTCGAACTCGTTCCTTGCCAGTAGCGAATTCTCGTGCTAACAAGCTGTTTTCTGCAGTGCGTCATGACAAAGTCGTCTCCCTTCGTGTCAAGAGCAGCCCCTGCTCCGACGAAGAATGGGTCTCGGTCCTGACTGCCGTCATCAGGCAAGAGCCGCTTGACGACGTTGAGGTCGTCGCTTCAGTCGAAGACGAGTCATCCGTCACTCTCACTGTTAGAAAAAAGGGGAAGGAATTTACAGTAAGTCCCAATAGCTCAACCTCATTAACAGCCGTGTTTTCGGAAGGCCTGGCTGACGATTGGTCGTTAGCAACGTCTCGGCGCCATTGAGTTAAGCCACAGCCCACGCGAGTTGATAGAGCTGTATGACTGGTGCGGCCTGTCTGCACAAACAGCGGGCGATGCGAAGGAGGCTCTAGCTGCAGCGACCGCTAAAGCCAGTAAGCTCGAGGAATCCGTGCGGGAGCTCAAAGCACACCTCGACGAGCTAATAGCGGCCAAAGAGGCCCATGAGGCGGAGCTCCTCGAGAAGTTCCGCGACCTGTTAAATGAGAAGAAGGTCAAAATTCGTCAGCAGCAGAAACTTTTGGCGTCAGCCGCTCCGGGGAAGCCAGCGGCCCCTTCCGTAAAGGAGGACCCAACGCAGGAACAAACCTCACGAGGCTCAGGCGCCCGGAGAGCTGCGGGTAAATCAAGGCCAACGAAGAGAAAAGTCGCGCCGCCGCCGGTTCAAGAGGATGAGTCTGCTTCTGAGGAATTCGAGAGAATGGATCTCGATGCCAATGCAAAACGCCCAGCCGAATTGTCTGATCAAGAGCAGAATACGACTGAAGACGATGACGCGACGGCCAGCGAAGACGAAGACGAGGAGCCGGCAGCTGTCCCGCCAGTGAAGAGAGCTCCTTCCAAGCAACCGGCTCCGGTCAAGGAAACCCCCAAACCAGCAGCCAAGGACGTTCCGCCGCCCAAGCGCGAGTTACCCTTTGCCAGAAAGAAGCAAGCTGCTGCTAAAGCCCCTCCGCCGCCTGTGGATAGCGAGACGGAGTCGGACGATGAACTATGAGGTCGAGAAGACGAGTGGCAACAGAGTGCAAATGAACAGCTAGATCGGCACACGCTAGAATGGAGTGTTCGAAGCTCCCTTGACAGTGCAGAGTACGCCGCCTGTTCCCCACAAGTGAGATCGAACTGGCCGGAGCTGTCTGCAGACGGGCAATCCTTTCTCGCGACTATCGAGACAAGACAAGTTGAATTATTCATTAAATTTATTGGCCCTAATACTATAGAATCGGTCCCCTGGAAAAAGAGTCTCGAAACAACAGACTTCAGCAAAGCCTTTGACTTGCATGCTTAGCGAGTGTCCTCCGGGTCGAACTTGTCCTGCCAGAATCCTCGGACATGCTTTGACTTGCCGGCCTCTGCAATCTCGGTTACCTCTCTGGGCGTCAACTTGATGGCAGGCAGATGGTTCAGATAACTCTGCAATCTGTCTTCCTTTGACGAGGTCGTGACAGTCACGAGGCCTTGGTCTAGGCACCATCTGAGTCCAATTACAGACTCACTGACACCATACTTCTTTGACAAGTTGGCCCAGATGGTCCGGACAGGACTGTCGACGTCAGAGGTGATCGGGGTCAGGGGTGCATAGACCGCTACGGCGATGTTGTTCTTGCGGTGGAAGTCCAACAAGTCGCCGTGTTGCAAGTGGGGGTGGAATTCAATCTGGTTGATGGCGGGCGGGGTCTTGGCGTTCTTCAAGATTACCTCGAGATCCGACTGCAAAAAGTTGCTGACACCGATTGACTTTGCTCGGCCAGATTCTTTGATAGCCTCGAAGTCAGCCCACTTCTGCTGGAGCTCCTCTTCGGAATCAGCAAAGAAAGGGGCGTGGATCAGATAGAGGTCGACATATTCAAGACCCATTTTCTTCAACGTGCGAGTGAAGGCCTCTTCAGTGTCTTGCTTCTTGTTGCCCGCGATCTTGGCAGTGACGAATAGCTTCTCTCTGGGGACACCCTCCTTCTCTGCCTTCTTGATGGCCGCGCCGAGCTCCTCCTCGTTTCCGTAGACTGGCCTGTCAGGGCGTGCTCAATGACGATGTTAAAGGGTCCCAGCACATACCTTCGGCACCATCGAGATGGCGGTAGCCCAGCTTCACGGCCATGACGGTGTTGTTGACAATCTTCTCATCGAACCCAGCGCCGCCCGTCTTGTAGTTGGCCGTGCCCAATCCATACGCGAGCTGCCGGTACGTCAGCGGTCCATCACACGTTGCAGTCTAAGTGTGCGGCAGCGTGGCAGCGATCAACCGGCACATTGGTGCATTCCCGCCCCAAGCGACCCTTATGGTGCTGACACACGGCAAACCGAGCTAGGATCCTCCCGCGGGCGTGGGCACCATGCCGCAGGAACAACAACAAGCGTCACTCACCATTGGGATCTCATTGCCATCATTGAGTTTGAGCCAGGGAATGTAAGGGACCTGCTTCGGGGGCGTGCCCGAGGCATCAGGCTTGAAGGTCGAAAGAATTGAGTTCATTTTGCGCTGCTGGAGCTGGGGACTGAGGGGTCGTGGAATGGAGTGATGACGAAGCCAAGATGTTGTTGTTGACGGCAGTCTCGAGCTCGTTCTCGTGAGGAACATACGGTCGTGTAGGACGTTGAAAGGAGGGGTAGAAGAGCTGAGTGGGTTTGTATTTCTAATCAGATGGACCTATGCTTCGTTTTTTCGTTCAGACGAGCCTGTGGAATTCACGTAGTGTATCAAGGAACGATGGGACGAGGGGACCAGACGATACCAAGCAAGCACGCCAGCCACATCTTGCCGGGTTTGCGTATTCCCCCTTCCCTCGCTTCGATAACATGCAGCGGACCGTCATTAACCGTCGCGGCGGATACTGCACACACTGTCTGGATTGGCCATTGACATCATCCGTACAGTCCTGGTTCGGCACATCAACACGGGGTCCTCGATGGAACCCTTGGCAACGGTTACCAGCCAGCCAGTTAAAGTTATCGGGTCTATCGGCATGCTGGACAGACAGGGGCGAAGCTGGACCCGTACAGTCTTGAGAAGCATTGTTTTTGACAAACAGTAATGGCATCAAGCTCGTTGAGCGTCTTGAGGTCCCTTCTGAAGCACACGGCAGGGCACATCATAGAACCCCACCTGCCCCGGCCCCCAACTGCACCTGTCAGGGTGCGCTGAAATCTCGCGAGCGCGGGGCTTTTGTACGCAGTTCTGACCAACGCCTGTGACGGCATGCCCGGAGCTCTTGCGTGACTTGACCGTCGGCCGGCACACGGGCCGAGGTGTTGAGAACAACGGAACACGACACCGTCGGACCTGCGCCGGTCACCGAGCAGGACTTGAATTGGTTGGAATTGCGGCTTAATAAGACGAACACGAAATGACGGACTCCGTGATCGGAAACGGAGTTGGGGCCGGTGACCGTCGAGATGGTCGCCGAGGTTCTCTATCCGGGTGCGCATTTCCAGTGGAGCTTAGGTCAGCACTCAGCATGGGTGTTCCCCAATCGCCACTGAGAAAGCTCCGAGGGGTCGAGTCTTCAACACCGACGGCGATGGGACGGCTTACACTATCATCATTATTAGCAAATTGCAGTATTCGCCTCTGAGGGGCAATTTTTCTTTAGTCCTCATTCAATCCAAGATACCCCAAATCCCGCGTTGCCTCTGCGGTTCGTCATAAAGGTCTTTAACTAGGTAGACTGAGTACCATCGCATGCGCTATTGACTTTTTTGTCGCAATTCGCGTATATGCTCTCGAGACTACTTTCCCGCCGAGCCGTCCCAAACGCCTTCACGAAGCCCCTCATGGCTGCACAGCTTTCCAACGGCTCAGCCACGACAGCGAGCGGCCACGGCCGCCTCCCGCTAGCTGAATTGCCAAAGACATGGCATTACACCTCCTCTCTCCCCGCCGACTCTACCTTTCCCACGCCTGCCGGCTCACACAAGACACCCCGCGATCAAATCACCCCGCGCCAGGTCCGGGAAGCCGCCTTTACCTGGGTGCGCCCCGAGAAGGCCGAGGATCCGGAGCTTCTCGCCGTCAGTCCTGCTGCTCTGCGCGACATTGGCATTAAGGAAGGGGACGAAGAGACGGAGGAGTTCAAGCAGACTGTTGCCGGTAATAGGTTACACGGGTGGGACGAAGAGAAGCTGGAGGGAGGATACCCCTGGGCGCAGTGCTATGGCGGATTTCAGTTTGGACAATGGGCCGGCCAGCTCGGTGACGGACGAGCCATCTCTCTGTTCGAGACGAGGAACCCGGAAACCAAGGTTCGGTATGAGCTGCAGCTGAAGGGCGCGGGTATCACACCGTACTCCCGCTTCGCAGATGGCAAGGCCGTTCTGCGGTCCAGCATCCGCGAGTTCATCGTCTCCGAGGCCCTCAACGCCCTCAAGATTCCCAGCACGCGCGCCCTATCCCTGACCCTCCTGCCCAACACCAAGGTCCGTCGCGAGACCATCGAGCCGGGCGCCATCGTCCTGCGCTTCGCCCAATCCTGGATCCGCCTCGGCAACTTCGACCTCCCCCGCGCCAGAGGTGACCGCGCACTGCTGCGCACCCTCGCAACGTACGCCGCTGAGGATGTGCTCGGCGGCTGGGAGTCTCTGCCTGCGCGCCTCGAGAACCCGGAAGAGCCGGCCAAGTCTTTGGAACCCGCCCGCGGCGTGCCTGCGACGGAGATCCAGGGGCCGGACGACTCTGCGGAGAACCGTTTCACCAGGCTGTTCCGTGAGGTCGCGCGGCGCAATGCGCTGACAGTGGCGAAGTGGCAGGCGTACGGCTTTATGAATGGTGTCCTGAACACGGATAACACATCCATCATGGGTTTGAGCATCGATTTTGGACCGTTCGCGTTCATGGACAACTTCGATCCCGCGTACACGCCGAACCACGACGACTACATGTTGAGATACAGCTACCGCACCCAGCCGACCATCATCTGGTGGAACCTCGTGAGATTCGGCGAAGCGCTGGGTGAGCTCATCGGGGCTGGAGCCGGTGTTGACGAGGACACTTTCGTCAACCAGGGTGTCGAGGAGAGCCAGGCGGAAGTCCTCGTTGGCCGTGCAGAGAAGCTGATCATGCAGGTCGGCGAGGAGTACAAGGCGCTGTTCTTGGCGGAGTACAAGCGCCTTATGACCCTGCGTGTCGGACTGAAGAACTTCAAGGACAGCGACTTTGACGACTTGTTCAGCGGCATCCTCGACACGATGGAGACGCACGAGTTGGACTTTAACCACTTCTTCCGCCGCCTTAGCTACGTCAAGCTTTCCGAGATAGCGGACGAGGCGGGAAGGAAGGAAGTTGCGGCGCGCTTCTTCCATGCCGAAGGTGTCACCGACAAGGGTCGTGCTGACGTCGCCTCGTGGCTGGACAAGTGGCGCGCTCGTGTCGTCGAGGATTGGGGCGAGGAAAAGGACGACGAGAGGGTGGCGGCCATGAAGGCTGTCAACCCCAACTTCATCCCCCGCGGCTGGGTCCTCGATGAAATCATCAAGAGAGTTGAGAAGGAGGACGAGAGAGATGTGCTGAAGAGGGTCATGCACATGGCTCTGAACCCATTTGCGGACAGCTGGGACGGGGCAGAATTTGATGGAAAGGTATACAAGGGGGACAAGCAAGAGGAGGAACGCTGGGTTGGGGATGTGCCCAAGTTGAAGAGAGCTATTCAGTGTAGCTGTAGCTCTTAGATCAATGCTACATTATGAGTAGTAATCCATTGCACTCGGGCTATGGCTGAGTATCAAACAATGACGTTTCGTTGATTTTCGTGACACGGTTCCGTGGACTTGTATGAGGGGATGTGGCTCGAACAATGTCGGTTCCCAGCGGTCTTTTGTGTAGTACAGACCGTGGGATATTTGCGACTTTGCGTCTTCTGTTTGCGGCCGATGCTATCTACAATCGCATAAGGCCCCTTTCCGAAGGCCGTGAGATTAATGGCGGATGTTGTTTAAGATTATACCTCTGTGGTATCCTCGGGTTGTTTTGTGGAAAGTCTTTGACATAGCACAGAAGCCTTCCGGGGCCAGCAACTTTCATTCACATTCCTGAGCGGCTTCTCTGATTGTGTGGTTAGCTTTGATCTGTCAAAATATGACCACCGCGCCGGTTGAGAGTCACCACACTGCTGGGTGCGAGGAGCAAGGGCAAAAAAAGTTCTTTCATATGGCAAAAGGCAGGGTTGAACCCATAACCATATTATAACCCAGCGAACAGAAGTGTCAGGGACTTCAGGGCGCAAGCACATTGGCCGGACCTGACCAACTGAGCCATCAACACCTCTGCTCGCTGTTGAATACCAGTGGAAGGAACCAGTCCTAAGTAGGTAGCTGCCGTCAGTTGAAAGCCAGTACAAGGTAAGAACCACCAGCCACCTTCCCATTTCATCCTGCGCTGTATATATATAAGCAAAGCCTTCTAACGCTAGGTATCCTCATCTCTGCCCTAATAGTACCATTACTATATTTGCCCCCATCTCTGTCCCCGTCTCTGTCCCCGTCTCTGTCCGCTTCGCCGTCTTCATCTTTCGTTAGTTAAAGGAAGAAGGTAGAGACTACTCATATCATTTCACACATCATCCTTGGCACGAAACCGACAACACTGTGTAGGAAGACTTCGTTAACTAATCATCAATTGCTTTCACATCAAGGAAACAGCAGGTTGAAGTTATTTACTTTCTTCAACTTCCACCCAACTCTACCCTCGCATCCTATTATGTACAAGCAATGCTCCCATCCCTGACAAAAGAACTTTCTTTTATTCTCTTCTCTACGATCGTACAGCCTGCCCCTCATGCTCCGTACGCAACCTGGCCCATCGGCCTGTCCTCCTCCATGCCTGGTGCCATGAAGTTGGTCTTGGGGTTGCCAGTGGCCTTGGCCGCAGAGCAGCGGGCCATTGTTGGCGAACTGAGAAGACACGTTAGTTTGGTGTTCGATTTAAGGCCAGGGAAATGGGGGCAACATACCTTCTTGAGATGACGTCTGTGAAATAAAAGTTGTCGATAACCTTCCTCAAAGGCGAGCCGGAGGCCTTGGTGCCCTTGTTCTGATCAACCAGCTGAACCTTGCTCAATTGCTGCAGAGCGACGGGCTCAACAACGTCGTAGGCCGCCAGGGCCGGGCTGACCTCAACCATTCTGTCACGGAGCTGGGCAACGTCGTCGTAGGGCAGGGGGGCGCCGAAGAACTCGCTGATGGCACGGATGATCTTCCAATCCGTCCTGGCAGCGCCAGGAAGGGAGGTGGCAGCGCGGGTCATCTGGACACGACCCTCGGTGTTGATGTAGGTACCGGCCTTCTCGGTGTACGCGGCACCGGGGAGGACGACGTCGGCAATCTGGGCACCGCGGTCACCGTGGTGGCCCTGGTAGACGACAAAGGCGTTCTTGGGGATGTCCTTCTCAGAGATCTCATCGGCACCGAGGAGCCAGACGAACTTGGGGGCGGTCTCAGCAACCTCAGCGGAGGGAGTGGTGAAGCCGACCTCGAAGGCACCGGCGCGGGAAGCGGCTCTCTGGAGAACGTTGTATCCGTTCCACTCCTCAGTGAGGAAGTTAGCGGCGTTCTTGTCGACGAAGGCACCAACGGTCTCGTAGAAGGTCTTGGCGTCCTCATGGTCAGTGACACCAGAGCCCACGATGATCATGGGGCGCTTGGCAGCCTGGAGCTTCTTGCCGAAGGGTCCGGCAAGAGCCGACTTCAGAGAGGCGTGGTCGGTACCCAAGTGCTCAAACTCAAAAGTAGAGTCCCAGGTCTCGCCAACAACACCGATCTCGAGGTCAGAGCGGAGCCATTGCTTGCGGATGCGAGCGTTGAGAACGGCGGCCTCGTGACGGGGGTTGCTGCCGACAATAAGGATGGCATCAGCCTCCTCAATGCCGTAGATTCTGGAGTTGAACAGGTAGTTGGAGCGGACGTCGACACCGTGGGCGATGGGCTTGCTTCCGTTGGGCATGTCAAGGGCCAGGTTCTCGGAACCGAGCTTGTTGGCCAGGTCCTTCATGGCAACCAGAGACTCAACCTCAGTCAGCTCACCGGCGATAACCTTGAACTCGTTGCCCTTGGGCTGGATATGGTGGTAGGCGTTGGCAACCTCCATAAGCGCAGCCTCCCAGTCAGCGGGCTCGAACTTGCCGTCGCGGCGGATCAAAGGCATGGTTAGTCTCTGGGTCTTCAGGCCGTCGCAGGCGAAACGGGTCTTGTCGTTAATCCACTCCTCGTTGACGTCGTCGTTGAGCCTGGGGAGGATACGCATAACCTCGAGGCCACGGGAGTCGACACGGATGTTGGAGCCGAGACCGTCGAGGACATCGATAGACTCGGAGTGCTTCAGCTCCCAAGGTCTCGCACGGAAGGCGTAAGGCTTTGAGGTGAGGGCACCGACGGGGCAGAGGTCGATGACGTTGCCGGAAAGTTCGGAGTCGAGGTTCTGCTCGAGGTAGGTACCAATCTGGATGTCGTTGCCACGGCCGAAAGAGCCCATCTCGGGGGCTCCGGCAACATCGTTGGAGAAACGGACGCATCGTGTGCAGTGGATACATCTGTTCATGGAGGTCTTGATGAGGGGTCCGATGTTCTTGTCCTCGACGGCACGCTTGCCGCCCATCTCGTGGAAACGGCCACGGTCGGCACCGTAACGCATCGACTGGTCCTGGAGATCGCACTCACCACCCTGGTCGCAGATAGGGCAGTCGAGCGGGTGGTTGGCGAGGAGGAATTCCATTACACCCTCGCGGGCTTTGTGTGTAATCGGGGAGTTGGTCTTGACGACCATACCGGGCTGTACGGGCCATGCGCAGGAGGCGATGGGCTTCGGGGCTTTCTCGACTTCGACCAAGCACATACGGCAGTTACCGGCAATCGCAAGCTTTCTGTTCGTATTTGTCAGTGGGGGGCTATCCCTCGGAATGGTACCGGTCATCGACTCGATCGGAGGATTTCGTACTCATGATAGCAATATCTGTTACGGAGTCAGCAAATGACGATTAAGATGGTTTTCGAGCGGCTGGACAAACCTGGGCACTGTTACGCCTGCCTTTTCGCAAGCTTGAATCAAGGCGGAGCCGGCTAGATAATCATAAGCAGGAGTCTCCGGAGCCGCACACGTTACTCCTCACCTTCAACAGAAACCTTCTTTCCGTCTGCGGATCATGTTAGCAAGGCCTATGAAGTCCAATTGGACCCTCGTCAGGGCGGGCGGGCGTACCGATTGTCAGCTCGACTTCGGCATTCCTGCGAGCTGTGGTTGCAAAAGTTCGCGAGGCATTGGCGGCCTGCTTGCCAGTCCGCCAAGCCGAACGTGCTAGAGAGTGCCGCAGCATCGTGTCGCCTTGACGGATTGAGACAGAGACGAGACGTGGGAGGGCGAAATGGTGGGAGGCGGATTGAATCTCACAATCGTTGACGTCGGGAGGGAACTGCTCTTCTGTCCCGGGCCATGGGGATTTGGTGGCGCTAGTGCGTAAATCGCGATTAATTTACATCGGCCGTGATTGGTCGAGCCGGCTGGGAGCTGTTCGGGGCCTGAGGCACCCATTGAACCCACCGTGCACCATTTAATCCTCGGGTAAAATTTCATCGCGAGGCGCCTCTTCTTCTTTTCCTCTTCATCAATTGTACACGGGCACTTATCGTAGGTGAGCTTGAGCGCCGCAAGGCTGCTTCTGTCGAGCCTTCCTCTATCTAGTAGCTCCAGAGAAACATTTTTGACGCCGTTTATGGAAGCATGGGAGATTTCTTCAATGACCGCTGCCTCTTACCGCCGGTCGTTACATACCATGATGACGACAAGATATTTGTAGACTGTACGTGGATTCGCTAGTTCATTGCGAAGGCTATGTACAGGTGCACACATGACGTGCTGTGATATTTGCCACATGTGTCGCTGTCATGCGTTGACGTTGACCTCGTTGCGGCGATGGAGACAAACATATTATATTCGGGCCTTACGTGCAGGTATACAGAGAGTCCGTCCTTTCCCGTCGTCCTCCTCGTCGATTACACTGGTCAAACACCACTCCTTCCAGACTCTTTCAACAGCTCCAGCGAGCTTGTTGAGACTCAAGACTGGGATGTCTCGCCTCCACTTCCGTCTTTGGTAGCACCTGCATCAACTTCCTTCTTGAGAGCCGCCCGATACCCGGCCAATATGTTCTCAGCGTGTTCATGATAGCCATAAATCTGAACGAGCTCCTGGCCCGCGTTGTATAGAGACCACTGAATGGCACCTTGCCTAGCCGGCAAATTTTCTGGTGGCGCGACAGGAGCTGTGTATGTCGTCTGAATTCGGCTGTGGTAAGCAGCGTAGTTGGCGCCAGGCGGCAACGGTGCTTCGATGTAGGCCTGCAAGACCTCCTGGTCGTGAGGCGTGAGAGAAGTGTCTGTCTCAACAGGCCCGTTCACCGTTTCCATTTTCTTCGCAACCTGAATGATGCGACGCCGCTCTCGCTCATAGACGAACATGATGTTTTCCTGCACCGCCGCAAAGTGCTTGTCCAGCTTGTCGATGGTCTTTTCGAGACGCTCGCCATTGGTCTTGGGTGCTTCAGAAGGCTCAAAGAGGGATTCTTCCAGTGGTACGAAAATGGCCATTGCCTGCGCATTGGCTCGGAGACTCGGGATGTATTCCTCCTCCTCCTCCAAGGGATTACTCGCCTCTCCTGCCGCGTTCGAAGGCGCATCGCCTGCCTTGCCTCCACTGCCTGCGTCCTGCATCCTGTCGACGAGTGTTCGGTATCCTCAATCCATTGAAGACAAAAGGGTAACTTGAGTTTAGTACGGTGGGTGCCGTGAGGCGAAAGAACCGGACTTCGTTCTTCGCCGGATTGGGTGGGAGTTGTAGATGGGGCGTTGAGGTTCAGGGAGGGTCTAAGTCCGCGCTCGATTAAAGCGTGTTTCTAAGCCAGGTACAGGTCACCTTGGGTTCCACGGCTGACAAGGACCCTGAGCCCAATGCACAACGCATAGGGAATGGGATGTTTCCAGCTCCTACATCGAGAGAACACGAACAAAATACGAAAGAGTACAGAAATAGAACTCTTTTGGTCATTTTTGCCACTCGTCGTGTCTTGGTCATTGTCGATTGGTTTTGCAGCGAGGGACATGGTGACAAAGTGCGACGTGCGTGGGAATCGCAATATGCGATGACAAAGTTAATTGGTCTTATTCAATGACGACTATCCTATTGACTATGGTATACTTGGATGGCTCTTCAAATGGCAATAATGGCTGCTGATACCGCCCAATGATGCTGTAATACTCTCGCTGAATCAACCCCACTGCTCGGCTCGGCATTTGTCCCCCGATGTGTTGTACAGAAATTTTGAATGTCGTTCTCGATTGTAGGGTAAAACGTCCGTTAAAGATGAACTTTTGGTCAGACTTATTCGGAAGCGGACTGTCGTGGGTTGTGGTGTAGGGAGATCGGCCCGATACGCCATGACCGAGTCGGGCGACGAGTTGATGTTCAAGTCTAGCGAGCCTCTCTGCTTCGTTCAGACTAACATGCCACTGGTCTTGCTCAGACAAGCGGCTGCACCCCAACGCGGCAGCAGGCCATGTCATCTTTCCATCCATCGTAGGATTTTGTACGCGGGCTTCTTACTTCCCACGCGAGTGTTGTCATCTGGACGGCAAGACTTTTCTCACGTATTCCCTCATCAGCTTCAACCCTGCCCGAACCAAGTCCTCTAACCGCCTGTCTTTCCGCTTGCGCATCCAGAGTAGTATGAAGGTTAATAGGACGATATCGATGGCGAGATGTTTCATGACGATCCACACGAACCACCGGACCCAAGCCATAAAGCTGCGCTGCTTTCTAGACTTCCACTCTCTGCCGGTCGTTATTTGCTCCCTCAAGGCGGCAACTTCAGCCGTCAGTTTCTCCAAGGCACGTTCCACGCTGCGCGACCAATTACTGCTCGGTACAAGTGCGTCGTCTTCTATGCCGTCGTTGTATCCCAACCGCCTATCGGAATCTCGCTCGGCGGCATCGTCTTCGCTCATGGGACTGAGTATCTTCATGGGACCCTCCGATCCGCTCAACGGTTGCAGGAACCGGCGGGACTCGGTGGTGTATCCCGTTCCTTTCGGCGAGGAATCAGTCGAGCTCGGGCTGTTGTTTTTGATCTGATTCCACACAAATTCAAGTTCCGCGACGAGTTCCTTCGCGTCCCTACAGATGGCGAGTCAGTGGCGGCCCGGTCGTGATGCGCGCTCGGAAGGGAAGGAGGCTGGGAGTCTTACGGCGTGGTCGCGTATTTGTGCATTGTCTCTATCAATGCCTCGATATATCGTCTCTTTGCTTCCGTGCGCGTCAAGCTCTTTTGAGAGTTCCAGGCATCCCACTTGTCCTTCTCGCGTTGCAGCTCGTCGGGAGGCATTCCGGAAGCCGAGGTCGGGCGCTCCATGACGCCATCGACATCTCCCTCCATCGCTTGCTTGTACAGGCCATAGAGTCGGAGTCTGTCTGACGGCGGGGGGCGCGAGGCCCCCGTTTTGGGGATCTTTTTGACGGTATTTAAGGCATGGACGAAGACGCGGTCTATGGGCGGTGGAAGAGCATGACGATACAATTAGCCGGGGAATTGCACTCCCCACAACGGGAGAAAACTAAGGGAAGTAAAGTTTTCTGGTTTGCTAAAAACTCACCCACAGAGTCGGCCATCTAGAAGACCGTCCTGTACGGACAGGACACCGAACAATTTCGATTTGGGTGGGTGGGTGAAGATTGGAGGTGAGGGAGTCGCGTGGATGTCCGAGGTCTGAGTCGGCGGCAGGGTCGGGTTGGGCTCGGCTCAACAACCGGGTGAGATAACTTAGATAAAGCGTACCAACTGCTTCACCTCCACAAGGGTGCGTAGCAGTGGCAGCTGAATTAAAGAGACAGGTGCTGGTAAAACGACAGATTTAGGAATCCAGCACGCTGACATGCATGTTGAGAGAGCTCCGCCATGGAGTTGCACCTTGGAGTCGTCAACGAGGAACTGGACGAGACGTGGTTGGCGGCCGCGGGAAAGGTAAGATAGTACCGGCTAGGCAAGTTACAGCGACGGGCGGGTACCGCCAGACAAGGTAGGCAGGGCAAGCTAGGTAGGTAGGTATCCGTTGTTCGGTACCGGCAATCAGCTGCTGGGGGTCTGGGAGGTGAGGTGGTTAGAGAGCAGTTCGCGCCGATGTTAGCAACAGCTGGAGCACCAGAGCAGCTAAGAAAAGGTGGTGTGCGAGTGCGAGTGAGTTGCCGGTAATTCTTTGCCTCGGCCGGTCACGCAACGACGCAACGCAAGCCCACGCTGCCACGCTACCGACCTCTCTCCACAGCAGCACAAGGACACTGGAGCACCAGCCGGGGGTGGGCGCGCGGGCCTGACGCGGGCTTGTCAGGGGTTTGCGTCTCCGAGATCCCGACTAGCAATTTAATCTCGCCCACCCCGCGTCGTGCTGTCCGTAGTGCGATGCCGCCTGGGTGGTCGGTCGGCCGAGACAACAAACACGTGAAATGCGGGCAGCCGGCCCAAGGTCGAGCACGTCTGGGGTTTGCGGCACGCTCCGTTGGGGAATCCCTCTGATGTTATGTTTTCGTCAATTAAATTCCGTTAATTGGCGCTAGAAGCCACTTACACCTGGCTGGCCATGCGCAAGCCGAGGGACGTCTGTTCTTCCTGTCCGGCCGAACGTCGTCTTTCGGCATTGCTGGCTCCTGGCACGCGTACACGCTCAGCTGCGCTATGACTGGCTTATCACGAGGGCGATGCGTTTTCGTCCCATATCAAAGTCGCAGAGCTTCCCACGACAGCCACATTCTCAGCGGTCAAGGAATTGAAGCATCAAAGTGTCTGATATCGGTATTGTATGTATTGGTATCGGGGGTATAAGCTATTTCGAAACCTGACCATCACCACATCCAACCGGCCCCATCACGCTCTGCAAAGTTCATCCAGTCAATCATGTAATGCCTAAGACTCCATCCCATCCAAGTCATCGCGAGCTTTGTACAAAGCCACCTTCTTATCCTGGTACGTCTTCATGAGCTTTTTGTTGCCCAGTGCAGCTGCGGCTGCTTTCTGTCCAGCCTCCTTTTTGTTCAGATCGCTGCCCACTCCAAGAAGTTTGTTCTTCTCGCCCCATCCATCCAGATACACGCCAACAGTGAACAAAGCCAGCTTCTTATTCAACTTGTCCTTCTGTTTGGCGCTGGGCAAGTCTTCATACCGAATGTTGATGCCCTTAGCTCCAATGAGTTTCGATAATTCGACTTTGGGGGGTAGCCTGGACTCCTGTGGTGCCGCTGAGCTTCCCAATTCCTTCACAACATGAATGTCTGGAGTCCTGTCGGCAGATTCAATCTTGTCCTTGATTGTCATACTCCAGAGCGAGCGCAGCCATTCTCCGGCCCGGCGAAGACCGTCTGCATCAGACAGGATGACAGCAGCAACATACGCCTCGAATAAGTCACCTCTTACTTTCCTGACTTCTTGCGGGTTTGCTTTCACCGCTATCTTGCTGTTCGGGTCAAGCTCAGCCGGGAGGATTGCTCTCTCGAAAAGCTTATATTGCGTAGAATAGTCGCCGAGGTTGGCATTCTTGATGAGGACTTCTCGTATCTGGGAGCACTTTCCGGTAGGCAAGCCTCCGAATGTTTGGAAGATGAGGCATGTCGATAATAGCTCCACGTAAGCGTCTCCGAGCCACTCGAGGCGGTCGTAGCTCAGGTCGCCCTTGTTCTTGACCTTTCCTTGATGAGTGAAGGCAGCTACCTCCAAGACGGGATTGTTGATCTTGGGTAGGGGTGGTAATGTGGCGGGAATATCTGAAGCGGTCCAAGGTCGGATGGCTGAGAGGGAAGGAATTGGAGGCCCATCGAGTGAATGTGAGTGTATGGTTTTCTCCTGCAGATTTGTAAGTCTGGCCTTCGTGGTACGGCATGGAATATCCCCACCTTTGACTCAATCTTCTCATTCTCAGGCAAAGACTCTTCTTCGCCAGCGAGATACTTGAACGACGGAAGGAGTTTTTTGCTGAGGCTTCGTAGATTTTGTAGCATGTCACCCTGAGGCGATGTCCCCTTGGGCGATTTGCTCAGCGCCTGGAGACACTTGATGAGTTCATCGCTGTGAGAAACAATCAATTCGACGGATTCGTTGTCCGTTTGTCTTCTCTTGCTGGGAGGCAAGCCCTCCGAATTTGAGCTGGGACGTTTGCTCATCGTGAAAATCGGCGCTTTGGGAAGGAAAGAGTTGGGGTTTCGGGCAATTCGTATCGCTATTCAAGCACTTTGCACAGAGGCTTTTAGTGCATAAACGAACACTCGAATTAGCGTATGGGAAATTTCCAAAATGAGAAAATTGATTCATTCGATATTTCAGATGCCATTTGAAAGCACTTCCAATCGTCAATTTGCATCCCTGTCACCCGAAGCGCGTCCGCCAGTGGGTACCTTGCCCAGTCGACCAGCCGGGCGTTAGGAAGAACGGGACCCTACCCGCCGCCCGCCTGCCTGGGGCCCGGTTGCAATTCAGCGGTCAATCGATAATCCGTGCGCACACCCAATTGGGCAGCGCAAACCAGCCAAGTGGGTCTGGAATTGAACGTCTCTGTCAAGGTCTTGCATATCGCGACAAAATTCCGATCCCCGTCATCGACCTGCGGACGAGGCAAAGATGAGTGTACCACGCGCGAGGTTGCTGGACCTCATGAAGGTATGTCACTCGGAGGAACTTATCGCCCGTGAATCTCGAGCTGACAGTCGTAGGCCCGATGCGAAGTCTTTGCGACAACATTTAACCCCGAGGGTGTCCGTACGGGCAATAAGATCCTGCGCCAACGGTTGAAGGGACCTGCTCTTGCTGCCTACTACCCACGCAAGGTTCTCACTGTTCGAGATGTTCAGAAGGAGTTCGGCCCTGAGCTCACGACTCTCGACTTGGAGGAATTGGACAGACTGGACCACATTGCTGGGTATGCTCTGGCTTGAGGAGAAACAAGGGATTTGCGCTGATTAGAGTTACAGGTTGAAGGCTAGAGGAAAGAGTGCACCAAAGAAGGCGAAGGAGAAGGGTAAGTCTTGCCGTCCACTTCGTTTGGTATCCACGCTGACAGCCTCGCAGTCGTCAAGAAGAAGAAATAAACGCTGCCCACGTGGTCAACTCTGCTGTACGATACCCTGAGCAACCGGCGAACAAACTCCCGATACCAACCTGTCGAAATGCTCTCGATTTATGCTCTCGATCTGCGGCGCAATTGTTGATATTCTTCGGAACTCGAATTTGCGTCCGCACCGCGGTCAAAGACCTCTGGGTCGTGCTGAGACATATCAGCCGCTGTCAGCCTGGCTTCCGGTGTATACACTCGGAAAGGGGTGACGAGATAGAGGCATCCAATGTATTATATATGGTGTATGTGAAGGTCTTTCATAGCAAGAGCTGCAATGCGTAGACCGATTTGAATGACTTCATGAAAAATCTCAGAAAGTTCCGCTTGCTGATAATCTTTACCTAGCCTGGGAAGACTGGCTGCCTTTCATTGTTTGTTCCGGAGGCTTGTATAGAGAAGAAAGGAATTCAGTGACGGCCCGAGGTCATTTGTCTCCAAACTAGGTCGAAAGCATGGTTGTAATTCACGAGGGCCTCACAAGGTGCTGAAATGCTACAGTCCTTGCACCCGCCAAATGGCCTTCTGGTACACCCAGGAATTTCACGTTGAGTGGTTGCCAAAACGTCAGAATATCAGTGATATTGAAGTAGTGGGGCAGTTGCCCTCCCGTTCAGCTAGCTAGAGCAAGACCTCGAAGTTGGTGCCTGCAGACCAGACGACCCGACTGCCACTCACTCGTCCCAAAAGAGGAGGATCATTCTCGGTTTTTTTTTTTGGCAGTCAACAATCGTTCTTGCCTCCTTCAACACCTACAACCGCCTTTCTTGCCTGAGAAAAAAAGTCACCTCAGCAACGCACCTCTCCTACCTCACACCCAGGTTGGATTTAGAGCCAGATATCTACTGACTTGTTGTTTCCCGACTTTGTGGAGGATTTTCTCAGTGAGATCTACCACAAATACCACAAGGAGGTACCTGTACAGTCCAGAGTGGTCTCCTTCCCCTCGGCTGCCTCTGTCGCTGCCGCCTTCCTGCCTCTCCCTACTTCCACATCTCGACCACCCCAAAAACAAAACTCTTCTCTCTCCCCTTCACCCTCACCTTCACCTTCACCACCACAAACCTCCAACGCAGAGAGGAAAATCCCACCCGCCCTCCTCCATCTGCAACCCTTGCAAAGGAATCTTTCTCATTTCTTCTGCCACTTTTGGGCAATACCCTGACTTATTTTCTGCAACGTATCGACTCCTCGATAAGACATCGTTCGCGAGCCCACCATGTCTACTCCCGACTCCGCGTACGCTACTTCGAAGCGAGGCTCGCCTGTTACCTCGATGCCCGTCTTCGGAGAGGAGTACATGAAGCAGTCGCCCGAGTCTGTCGGCAACGTAAGTTCATCTCTTCTGTCTATTCACTCATATCAGCTTGGGTCTTTCCGGGCCAATGACCGACCTCGTGGAAAAATTGAATACCACAGGATCTTTGCTGACGAACATCGAAAGGATCATTCGCTCGGCAACCTCAAGCCGGGTGTCTCGACCCTTGCTTCTTCCAAGCTGATCAATCAGAATGCTTTGAAGGTTGGTTCTTCGACCCGCCATCTGCTGCCTCGCTCACAGCGACAACAGAAGAAGACCAATCAGGAGTCGACCACAATTGCCGGCACGAACCCCATGGATATGCTCCTTGCTAAGCTTTCGGAGCAGCAAGCCGCGCTCGACCAGCAGAACGAGGCTCTGAAGAACACCGACGACACTTTGTACTCTCGTGTCGTGGACGTCTCAATTCCCTCGGCCAGCACTTCTGTCCCCATTACCCCCGCTACCGATACCTTTCCCAGTACTGCTCCCACAACTCGCCCCGCCAGCGCTACTCTTAAGGAGAACCGCGGCAATATGGAGGAGCTCCTTCGCCTCAAGATGGAGCTTGCTCGAGCCCAAACCAAGATCACCCGCCTCGACCACGAGCTTGCCCAGACACGTTCCGTGAAGCAAGATGACGAAATCATGCAGCCAACGCCGTCTGTTCGTTCTAGCATGCTTGGCCCCGAGAACAGCTGGGGTCCGAATGATGACAGCAGCTCGGATGCAGGTGCGCCCTCCGTTGGTGGCTACAGCCGTTCTCGTGGCATCTGGGCCAACGCCAGACCCCCTTTCTCCAACAGCGGCGCAGCCATGCCTCCTCCTGACTCTCAATCGATGGCAGGAGAATGGTACGGAAGTGGCCGTGGGGGCTTCAACCAAGGCTTCATGGACCCTGTTGGGCCTTTTCCCGCAGGAGACAGCTACCGCGGAGATCGCATGAACCAGGACACCGAGATGTTCTCCCGCCCTCCCAGCAGTCGCCGCAACAATCGCTATGAGAGCAGCCGCTGGCCTTCTCCTCAGCCGTATGGTGGCTCCAACTTCCAACCTAGCTACGGAGGCTTCGCCCCCTCACCCTCCCCGTTCGACCCCATGGCTGGCGGTATGGGAGGTCCCGGAGGCAACATGGGCTCCGGCATGTATCAGGGCTACAATCCGCAGTCCATCGGAAGTCAGCTTTCGCCCCACGCTACCGAATTCACCGCCGCATCTGGCTGGAAGAACGAGGTACGTCGGGATGGTCAGAGAAAGGGTGTTAGATCCAGCAGACTGACTGATCAACCCGAGCAGGCCATTGCTTCCGAGGGTCAGACTTACCTTCCGACCACTGAGCCTCTCAACTACCGCCGTTTGTTGGACCGCAATGTCAACTGCAACTGGAAGTACATCGTCGACAAGATCGTCTGCAACAACGACCAGCAGGCCTCTATCTTCCTGCAGCAGAAGCTCAAGGTCGGCACTCCGGATCAGAAGTACGAGATCGTGGAGGCTATCGTTGCCCAGGCTTATCCTCTCATGGTCAACCGCTTCGGCAATTTCCTGGTTCAGCGCTGCTTCGAGCACGGAACTCCCGAGCAAGTGGTGAAGATTGCAGAGGCCATTCGCGGCAACACCCTGAACCTTTCCATGGACCCCTTCGGCTGCCACGTCGTTCAAAAGGCCTTCGACTCGGTTCCGGAGGACTACAAGGCTATCATGGTTCATGAGCTGCTTCGCCGCATTCCGGAGACGGTCATTCATCGCTACGCCTGCCACGTCTGGCAGAAGCTTTTCGAGCTCAGATGGTCTGAGAGTCCGCCTCAGATTATGAAGTTTGTCAATGAAGCTCTCCGCGGCATGTGGCACGAGGTCGCCCTTGGCGAGACCGGCAGTCTCGTCGTCCAGAACATCTTTGAGAATTGCCTCGAGGAAGACAAGGTAATTTCAAGGCTTCATCGTATCTACTTCTTTGCTAACGAATGTATCTAGCGCCCCTGTATTGAGGAGGTTCTCGCCAACATTGACATCGTGGCTCATGGCCAATTCGGCAACTGGTGCATCCAGCACATTTGCGAGCATGGTGCCCCAGCCGATCGATCTCGTGCTATTGACCACGTCATCCGCTACGCTGCTGAGTACAGTACCGATCAGTATGCCTCCAAAGTTGTCGAGAAGTGCCTCAAGATTGGTGGTTGCGACTTTCTCGGCCGCTACCTCGACCGTGTGTGCGAGGGTCGAGTTGACCGCCCCCGTATCCCCCTGGTTGACATTGCTAGCGACCAGTACGGCAACTACCTGATTCAATACATCCTCACCCACGCCGGCATGCAGCATCGCGAAGTCGTTGCCGCTCACATCCGCAAGCACATGGTTTCTCTTCGTGGATCCAAGTTCGGCTCTCGCGTCGGCATGCTCTGCACCAACCCTGCGGTCGCCACCCGCCCTGGCCCTGGAGTCGGTCCTGGAATGGGCCGCATGGGTGGTCCCCCTCGCTACGCTGGTAGCAACAGCTATCGTTGAACTCTCTTCTTCCGGCCGTTTGCAGCTTGTCGCAATATTCTCCATATTGTCACGAGCCCTCCATGTTCTCTCTTTGCGTCACTATTGTCCCCACCCCTAATCCTCACACCCATACCCATACTCTGATTTTCATCAGCTCTGACGAAGTCATCGCACCACAGCATATGTCCGTGCTTACCAACATTTTCCTCGGCCATTAATTTACAGATCAGCTGTCATCCTACTCTCGACAAGTTATCACTTGGTCGAGTGCATTGGACACATCATGGTTATGGATTTTGCAATATGGAGGAGGTGCGTCAGTGTGACCTCAAAACCCCGTTCGGGGCGTTGGAGTTGCATCGCGAAACCCGACCAGAATGCTGCAGTCTATTCATGGCGGAACATCAAGTCCTCGAAACGTCTTTCGTCACAGCCGGAAGACTTGGAGGAGAAGAAGAAGATGAGCGGCTGGACCAGCATGGAATATCAGAACCAGAAACGCAATGATTGTATGTAGTATTATCACATTCCAGAAAGCTTTGGAGTGTGCTTCGGTCCAGATTGGACAGCATCTGCGGCAGTCCCTTATCAACATTAGGTAGTTTCGCTAGAGAAAGTCTTCTTACACTATTTTTGATGAAGTCTTGATGTAGTGAAAGAAAAGTTTATTTGCAATACCGCCTTGGCCCAGCAACCTACGCCGTGAATTGATGCACCGAATCTAACCCAACGCCGTAAGACAGTTTTTGAAATCCCTACCATCTACCACGGACTTACGTGTCCTTGCTTGACTTATCAGCCTCTGGTGCTGAAGTCTCATCAAGTGGAGGGAATTCAGCGTCGACTACAGAAGGCTGGTCTCCCGCTTCTGCATCTGTTGTAGTTGGTACATCCTTCTCCCAGGGTTTCTTTGGCACCGCACGCTTTCCAAATGGCTTGACGGACTGAATGATGTAAGTGCGAGGAAGCGTGGGATATCAAATCCCATAACGATTGAATCCAATAACAGATAACTTACTGCATCCCTGATGACAGTGTCGGGTATCTGTCTTATTCCTGGGATAGGAATGCCCTTCTGTAACATCTGGAGCATCTCCGCGAAGCCGACAGGATACGCTGGCTCGCCTCCCTCGGCGTCAGCCTCTACTTGCGGAGGAGCCTTCCGCTCGACGTAGAGCTCCCCTTTGGGAGCGGCGGCCTGCCATGACGGCGTGTCTTCTGCGCCAGCGTCGTTCTTGGGGTCGGGGTCGGTCTTGAGGTCATTGAGCTTCGACGTGAGGTCCGGCACGTCGGTAGCTGTGGTCGTTGCTGGCGACTGGGACTTGTATTCTTCGGGGAGGATGTCGGGTGGTGTGTGATCCGGGTGGCGGGCGAGCCAGTCTTTGTAGCTGTTGAAGTCGACTGTCACGCCTATGCGCGAGGCGTAGTAGAAGATCCGGGCGTGGGTTGCGAGTTCGGAGGTAGTTCCTTTGGGGTTTGCTGTGTTTGGATCGCCGAGGATTGCGGTGAGGCCGGACTGTCATGGACGCAGTCAGCTTTCGCCATAGGAAACGACTGGGCCGGCCGAAGGAGGGAGAGAGGTGCGGAATCCGGTGCTCAGTTTGCGCCGAGGGGTGGCTCACCAGGAACATCTTGTCCTTCTTCCATGGGTATGTGTCAAAGGCCTTGAACATGCCATCCTCGTCAGTAATTGCGCGAATGCGCTCTGCGCCTGAGAGCGTTGCCATCGTGGTCGTCGGGATGCGGTCTCGGTCGTGGCTTGTTTGGGCTCGTTGCCGAGGTGTAGTTGGAGGGACGAGAGCTTGGCTTTGGTGGGGGAGAGCTTGGGTGAGGTAGATGCGATAAGATAAGCGGGGGACATGCACCCCGCATTCGGCCCCGTCCGGATTTTGTGGGGGCTCGGGGCCGGTTCTGCATGGATGTGTCCGGCTTTTACTTGGACATCAAGTCACCCACCACCTTGTGAGCTGGCTATCTCGAGTCGGATCTTACCAAGATTGATTCGAAAGTTTTTGTTTTATAGCTCTTGAGACTTTAGGCAGCTTAAGATGTTGGAACTGCTTTTACCTTTTTTCTGTTGAAGCTTGCTATCAAGGCTTGCGAATGGATCTGGCTAACCAGGTAGAGTACTGCTGATATTTAGTTTTCTTCTGTCCTCATTTACTATCCTTTCAAGGCAAGAATCTCATTAGACACATTGTATCTGCCGTCGTTCCTGCTGTCGCCTCTACTTCTCAATGTTGTTCCTCTTCACTAGGAGAGCAAACTCATCAGGAATACATTCGAGAATCCGCCCCTCTGAACCACCGAACAGATGAAAGTTTCCTTTTGAACAGCTCTTGCCTTTTTCTCCTGGTAATGATTGTGAAAATAAAGTGCCTCGGAAAAGTCTAGAGCCCGATTAAGATACGAAGAGGAATCCGGTTGGTTCTTGGGCTTGGCGAAACTTGGTACGAAAGACATAACCTCAGGATGCTCAGAATATTCCACAAGGTAGCCCATTAGGCGACAGGTGACTCCGAAAGCCAACCACAAATTAATTTATAGACTTCGTGAAGCTCAAGGTATTGCCTTACATTGCCTTATATTCAGTTCTTTTCCACACAGCTTTGAAAGAAGAAAAAAAACTATCAACATCACTTACTTCTACCTTCCCTGACACCCAACAACAAAAGACCAGTTGCACTTAACTGATCATGTATCAACGTTCCTTACAACCGGCAAGTCTCCAAAGTCCAATCATGAATCCCATTTGGCTGACAATCTCGAGGCACTGCGCCAACTTGCAACGCCCACAGCTCGGTTGTTGCAGCAACCTTCCATCATCCTACCAATGGTGAGAGAGACCACTCGATCACTCACTACCTTGCGCGCATTCAGACGCAACTTTGCGTCTTTGCAGCCGCATACAAACATTGACTCGCCCATGCCGAGTGGAGCTAATCGATGGGTACACCATCATCCTCCCATGCCCCTGCGCACTTTCAGAAACCCTACACCACCTATCGCTCTGCACACGATGGGAAATCGTATCCCTCGCCTACAACAATATTACAACTTCCCAACAGCTAGACCATTCACAACGACTCAGCTCCTACAACCGCGTCCTGCCTTTCCAGCAGCTTCACCATTCTCAACCGCTCAGTCCTTACGACGTTACAACTTCCCAGCCGCAGGACCAGTCAAAAACGCTCGGTCATTCTGGCGACGTTCCCAATTTTCCGGGTGCCCGTTGTCAAGAAATCCTCAGCATTTGCAGCGGCGTCGTACTCGGATGGCACTTACGCCCAACACCAGGCCTACTCGTTCTAACAACAAACATGGCCGCCAAAAAAAGTGCCAAAGCCGACGACGGAAACACCCCCAGAGGAGCCCTTCTTGTACCGCTTAGTAGGGTATTCACTTGTTCTGGGCATTTTTACGCCAGTGGCGTACCTGTGGTATGAAATGGTGGAAATCGAACATGGACGCACAAAAAGTCGAAAGGAGATGGTATTCGAGTTCTCGTGCGTTGCAGCACAAATCATGGTGTCGCTGGGAATTCTCACCATGCCGTGAAATGCTATAGAAATCTTCAAGCAAAGGTGAACCAGGCAGATAGTGATAGTCAGTAGTGTCACATGGAATTTCGACTTCGCTGCCGACGTATCCTCTACTTAATTCCACGTTGGTAATTGTGGAATAATCATCACTAGTATCTCTGTAGTACATCATTCACAGTACCACGTAGTTTAAACTGACAGAGCTTTCGTATATCTTCATTGCTAGATGATCTAGTTCTAAGTCATATGTCACGATATCTACGTCTACGCTCACAATACGCAAGCGGGCGGAAACCCCCCAGGACAGGTCCATCTGAGTTCCTACGGAGTGTTTATGTTACGTGGACGGCCTGCAGAAAAAAAGGGCCGTCGAACTAGCGCTGACCGCAAAAAGAACGCGCCACTCCCCACGTTAAGAAATTGAAACAGCCAATATCGCAGACAGGGAACAGTGTGATCCATGGGGCATAAGAGTGTGTATAGCAAGGCCGCAGTATCAAGAACCGCTAATCGGGCCGCTGTGCAGAGAGCCTCCATCGTAAAGACGAGGTCCTATGTGTGTAGTGTGTAGCAAGATGGCTGGCCACGCAGGACCGCCAGTGAGTGGCTCTGCTTCCAAGCGGAAGCAGGCTAGAATGTCGTGAATGATCCGGGTAAAAGAGTAAAGAAAACGTCTAGAGCATCCCTGGCAAAGCAAGAAAAAGATGCCACACTTGACCACCTCCTGAGCTGAACGCCGTAAAAGCAACAATTGTTGCCCAAATCTCCCTAGAAGTAGTTGTGGAATCCAATAAACCCTCCGATGCAAAAGCCGATGATCTTTTCAAACGCCATGAAATGATGCTTTTAGTTGTGCTGGAAAAGGACGCTGATCGACTCGCCGTGGTGGACACGACGAATAGCCTCCGCGAAAACGGGAGAAACTGGCAATTTAGTCAGAAGCTGAGAGACACTCGAGAGCTGGGAAAACTCACCATCCAGGAAGCCAAGCTTAGGGCACACCTTCATGTGCTCGCCCTGGGGAACGGTGTTGGTCACGATAATCTTGTCGATGGCTGAAGCGTTGATACGGGGGATGGCGTCACCGCTGAGGATGCCGTGGGTCAAGAGGGCGTAGATCTGAGTAGCGCCGTTCTTCTTGAGGAGCTTGGCAGCCCTCGTGATCGTGTTGCCGGTATCAACAAGATCATCAACGAGGATGCAAACCTTGTCCTTGACATCACCAACCAGCATCATACTGGCATTGCGCTGCTCGCTGTACTTGGTCGGGCGACGCTCCTGTGGCAAGTTATGAGTCCCCGCACCTCCGTCTAAAGAAACAGGTCACCTACCTTGTGAATCAGGGCAAACGCCATGTCCAGCTCATCAGCAATGGCGGTAGCGCGCTTGGCTCCGCCAGCATCAGGAGAGATGACAACGGCGTCCTTGAAGTTGGGTATGTTCTGCTGGATGTACCTCTTGAGGAGGGGCTTGCCGTACAGGTTATCCACCGGCACATCGAAGAAGCCCTGGTACTGAGGATCATGGAGATCCATCCTGCAACCATTAGCAATTGCTTCGAAAGGAAGCAACGAAGGGCAGGTGTAAAGGACCAATTAAGGGCTTTTGTTGGAATCGGCATGAGCTGGTGCGCGAAACAGCGCGACACAGCAGAAGAAAGAACTTACGTGATCTGTTGTTTGTTAGCGAAGTGCTTTAGAGCCAGCAGGTTTTGGGCGCATCCTTCTTGGGTTGCGCCCGTGGATATTTTGGGGAATACATACCACATGGTCCGCACCAGCGCAAGCCAGCAGGTCCGCGACCAGAGTGCCAGCTTGGGCAACCCATTGCTTGTATCCCGGCTTCGATTGGAAGCCGTTGACCTGGCTCTGGTTCTCGTAGTCGTGGGTGGTGTAGCGGACCTGCGACGAGATCGAGTCGTGGTTGCGGCCGTGGCCATTGACCTTGGAATCGCCGTTGCCGTTCTTAAAGTAGTCGCCGCCATTGGCGCCATTGCTTCTCTCCTCGTTCAGCTTGCTCTTAGCCAGCTTGGAAGCAACGCCGTCGATGCCATTGGTGAGCCCAGCGGTGCGCGGAACGCCAGGAGCGGGGGTCGCGGGAACGCTCTCGAAGGTGTAGCCGTTCTTGGAAGGTTCTGAGGCGGACTTGGAGAGAGGCGCGCCGGCCTTCTTGTAGGGGACGTCGGGCTGTCTTGAGTAGGGGAACAAAGGCATGACAGCAGTGACTCTCTTTGCAGAGCCAGTCTTGCAGGCAGAGATCATGATGCAAAGATCCATGAAGCCGTCGTTGACAGAGCCGGAGGCGGTCTGGATAATAAAGACATCCTTGCCGCGCACCGAATCCTTGATCTCACAGCGAGACTCGCCAACAGAGAACTTGGTGAGGACGCGCTCGCAGGGGTTAAGGCCCAGGTTGTTGCAGACGCTGTCAATCAGCTCGGGGTGGGTGTTTCCACCAAGGATAATGATGTTGCGGACCATGGTGTCGCTGGTGTCGGGGCTTTGAAGATGGGGTATCGAAAAACGGTAAAATGCGGTCGGGCGAAGTCGGCGGAGTTCAAGCCGAAATGTAGCAGCTCTTGGGCTCGATTAGGGCGGAAGAATAGGAGCTGTATGTGCCTAGCTACAATTAAGAGCTTTGCAGGCGGGGTTTCGGGTTGGAGGTGAGGATATTGGTGGTGGTGGGATGTCGTGTGCGGGATGGAGAATCGCGAAGGAGCAGTGCCGGTCTCGGGTTTGCTTGAGGCGTCAAAAATATCTGCTAGTGGGGTGCGAGGCGACGTCACAGGTACTTGGAATGTGCCGAAGCCGAGGGTAGGCGCAGAAAAAGTTGTCCAGAAAGGTGATGCCAAAGGCTTGAGAGGGCAGACACTCGAAGGTGCGATCACTACAGCAGCATGACGAACAAGCTGTCGAGGAGAAGATTTGGAGGAAGGGGGGGAAGGCGAGGAAAGAAAAGCTGGTAGCGGCGGGGATACCTTTGAAGCTGGGGTTGTCGAGAAGTTGTAAAGGAAAATCTCTGAGTGGATAAGTTTGTTTGGGACGTGGATTGCAGGTATCGGGGTCGGGGTCGGGTGCGGTCGCCAACCATGTGGACTGGGGGAAGGTGGGTGTGAATGGGCTGCGTGGTGGGGTGGAAACGGGTGCTTCAGTGCTGGGAAGCGAAGGACACACAGGGTAGCCAGGTGCAGAATCCGCTCGTTTAGGTTAGTCCGGGCAGCTTGGTGCTCTTCATGACTCCGATCTCTGGCAGAGATTTTGCGCCAGTGGCGCCCTGGCCATGCACTGTGTTTCTAGTGGTTGCAAGGCCCTGAGCCTCTTTGGGGGCGGCGCAGGACGGCCGCTGTGGTACCTGGAGCGGCAGCATTGACAGCGCCCAGCCGCGGCAACATGACAGTGTCGGAAAAGAGCTCCGTACAGGTACCACAACCACCCGGACAGCATAATGGAACGCTGTGGTCGTGAACATGGGACGGGCGCGGGATACTGAGATGGGATGCGCCTGTAACTAGGTAGGCTTCTGCTCAGACAATCCTGACTGTGACGGTCTGAAGTCTGCGGCCCAGGCTCTTCGTTGCCTCGTGATTGCACATTCCGGTGATGCAGGTATGACAGCAAGTAAATACCTCTCGTTATTTCTGTAGACCAATCTCAGACACAGAATGGAGGGAATGAGAAAAACGAGAGGTGCAGAACTGCCTTAGACTCACCACCGGCGGCCACTGAAAGCCGCCAACGCTGTTCCCTGCGCTCATTGCGCAATTCCTAATCAGTACGTACCTAGCGACATTAGCACATGGCGAGAGTGGGGGACTGGGCAGCGTGATTGGGCAGCTTAATGCATCCTTTTTTTTCTTCTCTGGCTGCTCGTCCATTGCGCGGTGTCTCATGCAGGTTGCTGCAAATTGTGACTACCGACCGACCTTACCAGCGACCGCGGGGCAATAGCAAAAATATTCACGGCAACCCGCACTGCATATGTACCGTGCCGTCTTGTTCCTACTGTGCGGTGCTGTACGGATCCTAAACTCTCTCTCCGTTGCGTGAGGCAGACCGACCAGGCAGGTTTTTTTTTTTGTTCGATTTGGTTTCACAGCTGCCTTGGAGGTTGAACCGAGCTTACTGCCAGTCTCCGGTTTCGTTGGTTTCCTAGCTTGCAGACAGAACTCGGCCAAGAACCGTCATCTAGAGGGCCAGCCTGGGTGTTCAACGTTGTGTGACTCGACCTGTCACCAACCGGCCTCTCAGGTGCGCTTACCAGGTTCCATTTCGAGCGACAGGGACATTAGTCTAGCCTTGTTCACCTTCCACACCGACACGGCAATTTTCACAACTCCGAAACGCGACTTGCATTCGCACCTCTCGTCGACCGCCGTTGCCGGTAGCTAGTCCTGGTCCTCCCCAGCCAACCACCTCCTCTGTTCCCACGGAGAGCTCTTCCCGAGACCTCAACCCCAACTCCTACGCCAAGTACACCGTCACGATGAAGATTCTTGAGGCTCAGACGGCGGTCCTCACCAACTACGAGGTCTACAAGCACCTTACGGAGAAGAAGCTCGGCCAAAAGAAGCGAGGAGAGCGTCGTGGCCCTGGCAATCTCGAGACCCTGGCCAAAGAAGTGCGTTGCCCAATGACCAATTTTTGAATTCTTTCTTCAGAAAATGTCACTGAAGAAAAAATATGAATAAAATTGGGTATCTATTACTTGTACGTACGCCCATGACTGACTCATCCGCTCAGCTCCTGCAGTACCTGCGTACACCACCCAACCCGCTCTGCCAGGACCCCATCACCTACCACCCGGAATGCATCTCCCAGCTGTTGGAGAGGCTCCAGCCCTATGACCTCGCCAAGGGTGAGGTCGTAATGATTCTCAACCTCCGTCCCGCCTCCGTCGCTGCGTTGAATACCGTCATCGAAGAGATGACGGAGCGCTTCGACGAAGCCCAGCAGGAAGAAATCGTCAACATTATCGCTGAGGTTCTCGGATCGTTCCCCCAGGAGGCCGAGGAGGAGGAGGGCGGCGAGCAAGCGAACGGCACGGCCTAGGAGACCAACCCGGATCACTCTGCTGAGCCCAATACGGATCCTGACTACGTCAGGTCGCCGTCTCCTGTGCCGAGTCCTCCGACAGAAGACTGAAAGCCTTCACATGATGACACAGCCGCCTTCACTCTGTCCGCCCGCCTCACTGCGGGTTTTGACTGCCGTGGTGCAGATGTCTTCGAACGCCAACTTGATGAGCTCCCCGGTCATGGCAGAGCACTCCATGTACCTGTCTACTCTCAAGGACTGAGCCATCTGGTAGGCTTCTTGAGGATAGATGATGCCGTTGGGATCGGTTTCGGATCTTAGGTCCCGCTTCAGACCTAGGATGAGGATAGGCAAGCGGTCAGGTCTGCGGAAGGACAATTTGACCTCTTTGAACCACTGTCCCAGGCGTCAGGTTGTGAAGTTGTAAAGGGGTCAAGGAATGAGACAAGATAACTTACTAGTCTTTGTATGTTGATGAGACTGAGCCGCTGGCTTATGTCGTAGCACATGATGACCAGGTCGGGCTCAAGAAGCTTCCAGTTCTCAGGGCTATTTGTATCATAGAATTCCAACCGATGTGGTGTAATACCAAGCTTAATCTCGAATATGAATGGTTGGTCGATATCTCTAAGCAGCCTGATGGGGCCAGTCCCTTCTCCAGCACTCAATCTCCTATTCACGGCATTCACATTAGCGATGACATCCCATGTGGAGACTGGGCTTCACGGATACGCACGATAGGAAATACGTCTTTCCACATTTCTCATCTCCAACTAGCAATATCTTGATGGCATCTCCGTCCATGGCTGCGGTTGTCCGCGGGTTCGGAATTGACTTGGATGTCGTCCTGATAACGGGATGTCTGGAACAGATTGGCTCAGCTGCCGACCGGTCCAGACACAGTTCGACGCACTGCCCGCCAAACGGCCCCCCGGTCCCGTCACACCGGTCCAGACCTCCAGTCGAAGTGGAAACCAGCCACTGATGGACCAAACATCAGCCACACTCTGTTTTAATGGGCAAACTTTTTGCTCTTGAAAATGCCTGTTAACTGCCCCTCCAGTGACAGCCCGCAGCCCAAAATGTACCCGCATGGAGCCGGCCTGAACCCCTCCAAAATTTAACGTCGGAGTCATATGAAGAAGAGCAGCAGGCTTATGAGTCCCTTACACGGTTTGTTTTGGGGCTCAACTCTGCATCGACCGCCAAGCCAGAGTCTGCTGTTATTGAGACGCCTGGACAGACTATTATACGATTGCCGAAAGATTTTACCCGCCCACGCCCATCAACGCCAACGCCACCACCATCTCAGTCCCTGTCTCATCGCTCACACCCCCACACGATACCTGAGCACCTCACAGGCCGCAAAGATGGCCGAGGTGCCTGGAAAGTACGACTCATGGGAAAAGGAGCGTCTCATCTCCCGCATACGACACCTCGAGCATGAACTCGACAAGCAGAAGGCTGCAGCCTCCAAGGCCGTCGACGGGGCAGCTGCACCCCCGCCGGCAAAGAAGCGCAAGACGAAGAAGGGGATCGATCCTTCGCGGTATTCCACGCGCTTCATCGCCTTGAAGCTGGCGTACCTGGGCAAGCGTTATGGTGGTTTTGAGTACGCTGACTCGGCGGCTCTGCCAACCATCGAGGGCGAGCTGTGGAACGCACTCACAAAGGCGTGTCTTATTTTCCCCGAGGACCCGGCCGTCGTCAACTTTGACTGCTGCGAGTACTCAAAATGCGGCCGTACGGATCGTGGTGTGAGCGCGTTTGGTCAAGTTCTTGGGTTGAGGGTCAGGAGTAGCAAGCCGCTACCCAAGCCGGACCCTGCTCCGACGGAAGGGGATGCGGATACACCAATGGAGGGCACCGCCGAAAAGACAGAAACCGAGGAGGAAACCAAGAAGAAGCCCGAGGTGGAGTGGTCAGACGAAAAGGAGATTGACTACATCAAGACCCTCAACCGCCTTCTGCCCGACGACATCCGCATACTGGCGTGGTGCCCCTCGCCCCCGCCAGGCTTTTCGGCGCGGTTCTCCTGCGAGGAGAGACAGTACCGCTACTTCTTCACCCAGCCCGCCTTCGCGCCGACAACAGGCGTCTCCGCAGACGGCTTGAAGGAGGGCTACCTCGACATCGAAGCCATGGACGCGGCGGCGCAGCTCTTCGTCGGCGACCACGACTTCCGCAACTTCTGCAAGGTGGACGGCGGCAAGCAGATCACCAACTTTGAGCGGCGCATGTTCGAGGCGGGCGTCGAGGAGGTCAAGGACGTGGGCTCGGCGCTGCCATACCTTGGTCTGAGCTCCGCGGACGGGAGCAAGCTGCCCAAGGTGTACTCGTTCAACATCCGCGGGACGGCGTTCCTGTGGCACCAGATCAGGCACATGGTCTCGATCCTCTTCCTCGTCGGTCAGAGGCTGGAGAAGCCCGAGCTCGTGGCGGAGTTGCTTGACGTTGAGAAGACGCCGAGGAAGCCCAACTACGACCTCGCCAACGACACGCCGCTGGTTCTGTGGAACTGCGTGTTCCCTGGGGACAGGGAGAGTCGGACGCAGGAGGGCGAGAACGCGCTGAAGTGGGTGTACGGCGAGGCGGACATCGTCGAGAACCTGTGGACGTACTACCGGACGAAGAAGATGGACGAGCTGCTGGCCAACAGGTTGCTTGACCTGGTGTCGGGGCAGGCTCAGGGCACAGAGAGCCAGGCGAAGGGGAAGAGGGTGTTTGGTGGCGGGCCGTTGGGCAAGTTGGCGGGCGAGTATGTTCCGATTATGAAGAAGCAGTTGACGCCGACGCCGGCCGAGATCAACGACCGGTTCGCGCAGAGGAAGGGGTTCAAGAACTCTGAGGAGATGAAGGAGTCGAAGAACTGGAGGAAAATCATCAAGGATGCCAAGGTCGCGAAGAGGGCGGCTGCTGCGGCTGAAGCTGATGAATAAGATGCCGCATCCTTCTGAAGTATAATTATAAAAACAAATGAGGAAGAAGTTCATGATTTCATTATGGGAGCTCCTGTTCAGCTCTGCCATCTCTCGTCTATCTTGCGATTGCCCCCGCCGTAACTACCGCCGCCTTCTGCTTCCCACAGACAGCCTCTGACCCCTCTCCACACCCTCTCGACGATCTTCTTCCGAGGCAGGATCTGGGGAAACACAACGACTAGGTCCTCCTCCCCTTCGACGATGACAATCAGGTAGTACCGCACCTCAAAGCCCTTGAACGCCTCGTTGACGAGGACGTCCTGGATCTTCTCCGTCGGTATGAAGCGTGTCGCCGCGGCGTATAGATAGCTCCCGCTAGACGAGCTCGTCTGGATGCCCAGCCCGCGCAGAACAAGCAGGCTCTCGGTCTTATGCGTCCTTAGGAGCGTCGCATACGCCGCGACCACGCAGCCCGCGACCAGGACGGGGAGGGGCACCGTGTTGGCGGAGACGAGGCGCTGGGCCAGACGGCCGGGGACAGAGTCGTCGACGAGCCGGAGTAACTGCGAGAGCGCTTCGCCCGAGAAGAAGCCGTCTTCCGCGTACTCGTCTCGGTGGATTCGCGAAGTTCGCAGTGGCGTGAGGAAGGAAGCTGCGTTGGGGGACTGGACCCAGGCGGCACGCAGGAGGAGGATCGAGGAGAAGAAGACGAGGATGCGCAGGATGAGGAGGAGGAGAGAGAGGGTCCTGACGGCGAGGGTTGGCGGCGGGCGGGTGGTCACTGTGAACTCAGCCGTCGTGGGCGAGGGGCGCCGGACGTGGAGGCGCGGGGAGGTCGTGAGCATCTTGGGCGATGCGCCGGGTGTCGCGGAGGATGCAAGGTCGCAATTATCGTGCCATTGGTGTTGCGGCAGCTCTGAGAAGACGAAATATTCTCTGAGGGTAAACTCGACATCGAACGGATGCGCAATTGCAACTTTGGATGTTGAAGCTCTGAACGATCAGCTACCATTGTCCCCTGTCGCGCGCCTCTCAGCAGTGCCGTGGCACCAGCACCAGGGGGCAGCTGACGTAATGTCCACTCACCCAGCAGCCAACTGCGCACGTCCCACCAGCGCCAGAGGGTATATGGTTCAGAAAATTGGCGAGGGTTACCGGCTGTAATGGTCAAGTTGGTTGAAGGCTTTCATTATTCTTCTCCCGCTACCCCATCTCCATTGGAACCCCTTAGTGGCGCCCAGTGCGAATGCTGCGGTGGCTTCTCACTCGCACGGGTAACCTGCGATGCTGCGGTAGCCCTAAGCAATGATGATGACACTTGAGGGAGGTTTCACTCTGCAGAGGCATCATCACCGTCGCATGGCGTGCTGGATTACGACCGGTAAGGGCTTGGGGTAGTGGCTGAAGATGGAGATGTCAACTCCATTTCCTTTTTGATTTTTTTATGATTGATGTTGACGATTGTCGTCGGTCAGGCGAGACGATAGATGCATTATTATATATATATGTAAGTAAGTAAGTATGCACTTGCAATCTCTCCTGTCGGTGGCATCCTATATGAACGATTGATTGATTGTATGGTGGTGATACATGGTGCATCGCAGCGCTGCTTGCTGAAGTTCGCGATGCCTTCAGTGGGTGGATGTACACAGTGTTGCACACACATGGTTCGATTCATCCCAACATCAAGCTTTGTTTTATTTTTGCGCATATCTCCAGGGTCTAAATTAATCAAATCAGACGAACTACGTTCAAATGATATCATCCCTTGCTGTCTATGTGGTTTGGTGCACTGAGGTCAGCTTGAGGCTGGTTTGTCCCTGGACAGATGGGGGTGGTGCAGACGGCGACAACGGCAGAGACGATGAGGACGGCGCAGACGACCAAGGAGCTTCAGGAAACGTCGTCGCAATAATACAGCAGGTGGTCTCATTCAGACTTTTCAATAAATAATTGCAAACTCGATGTCAAATTGCATCCTTCTCAATATTCAGCCTGTACGTGGCCATCCTGAATCGAGCAACTACATACAATATCATCCTCACCGAAGGAAAGAGTCAACACTCCCACGGCGAGGGGGAAGCAAGAAGTAGAAAAATCAAGATGTAAAGAAACGCAGGCGGATAGATATCTCCCCTGCTCCAACTAGATGAACAAAGATGCCGTGGGGCAACATTGTAAGACGAACGTTTCCAGCACTTTTCGGACCCCTCCCCCTCCATCTTTTCCAATCTCGAAATTGAGGCGAGACAGCCGGCGTCGACCTGTCTCAAACCCCTCACCTTTTTCTCAACATAAAACTTTCTCGTATCCCCCAAATATCTCCCTCACCCCCGGCCTGTGTGTCCGTCCTATCACGTACATCGCCGCTCACGGTATCATGTTTGTCCTTTGCCTCGCGGCTTTGCCCAGTCCAAGATCCAGCCATCATCAGTCATCATTTGAGAAGGAAGAAATGGAAAAAAAAAAAAAAAAAAAAAAAAAAAAAACAATGAAACAAGTTGTAGAGAGGAAGGAAAGAAAAGAAGTAGTAGAATCGCTCTGCGCTCGAGAGAAAAGTGTTCAAGGATAGACTTGAAGTGTACAAAACGGCACTTTCTAATCGGGATTTTTTCATCTGTCGGCTTTCGTGGCATCGGAGATGATGCTGCACTACCGCGAATGGTCGTGTTCCTCTGTTGTCGAAAAGTAATGGTATCAAGGTTCATCGAAAAACGCCAGTCGCCATGCAACGAATCGAATCGAAACATCAGGAGGGGGTAAGTGAATATTAAGGTGGTGGTTGGGGTGTTTGGTAGGCTGGCATGGCCTAGATGAGGTCGCTGGCGTTGAGACCGGTGGGGAGCGTCTTTTGTCTCTGCGCGCTGATGGGAGATCTCAAGGTCTCACGACCATAATTGACGGGCATGGGCACGCTCTCGTAAGGTGCAACCTCGTAGTTGTCTTGTCTGGGACGCATGGCGACGGAGTCCTTGCGGCTGCGGCTTCCCGATCGGAAGCGGTCGGTAGCCTTGGAGATGCGGCCAGCAAAGCCGTTCTCACGTTCGCTGAAGCTGCGACCGCGGCTGTGGCCCTTGAATGCGGGGGCCGCCGGGGCCGGGATGACGGGGACGGCGGTGTCCATGGGCGCAGCGGTGGCGGGCTCATCATCGTCCATGACAATCTCAATCATACCAGAGCCGATGGCGCCAGCGCCGTTGTGGGCGGCGTACGGCAAAGGCGCCGGCGGCGGGGGAGGCGGCATGGCGAGGTGCTGCAGCTCCTTCAGCATGGGTGGAGGAGGCGGCGGTGGAGGAACGCTCATGTCGTCGTTGTCCTCCTGAGAGGCGCGCCTGGAGTGGAAGAGATGGACTTCTCCCGAGTTTCCTCGTCGCATCGATGGGCCGCGCGAGAGTGCACTGGGTCCGCTGGTCTTGGGAGAGGGTACGTCGATGGGCGGAGCAGACATGCTGCGAGGAATCATACCGCGGACGGGAGGCTGGTAGGTTGTCTGCGGGAGGAGCGTAAGAAGGTCGCCCTCCTTCTCCTTCTCGGGAGATCGCTGGTTAGGCGAAGTCACAGGAGAGTGTCGCTGCGCAAAGGTGGCCGGGATCGGAGGCACCGGGATGTTCTTTGCCTTCTCCTTGTCGGACTCGATGATGAGGCGCATAGCCTTGGGGGTTGCCGGCAGGCCGATGTGGACGTTGGAGCTGCGGGCGTACATGCTCCTATGGTGGACTGAAGGCGAGTCGGCAGTGTGGCTGCGGGGAGGGAGATCAAGGCTGTTCGGCGGCGGCTCAATGCCGATGGGGATCTGGTTGGGATGAGGAATAGGAGGCGCTGAAGGGCGTTGTGCCAGGGACTTGCGACGCTCCTCAAGCTCGCGGGCAGCCTCCTCCTTCTTTCTCTGTCTCTCATCCTTCATGGCCTTGAGATCTCCGGCATGCTCAGTCGACGGAGCACGCGACTTGGTCTGAACAGGAAGGACATCGCGGGGCTGCTCGATGTTCTCAACCGCGTGGCGACGTCGGCTCTCAGATCGATCACGTTGGGGGAACTCTCTGATAAGTTCGGGCGAAAGTGCTTTGCGAGACTCGACCTGGCTTGTGCTCCTGTTGTGTCTGTTCCGGAAGTTCTCTTGGGCGATGACAGCCAAGGCGAGGTCTTCCTCATCTTCGGATCCCTGGTAGTGCGCTGGGTTGGCGGGAAGGGGAAGAGGTGACGAAGGAGACCTGACGTGAGAGCCAGTGCGATCTTGGCTACGACCCCGGAGGTCAAGCGCAGGAGGGCGGTGCTTGCTTTCAGGGCTCCTGTGGCGAATTTGACTGCCTCGGCTTGAAGTACGGCTGGCTATCTTGCGGCTGCTACTTGCCTTCCTCACGGTGGCGGGATCCATGGACTCGGGCAGCATCTTAGGGGTACTCAGGTTGATGAGGTCCTCAGGCGACATGGGAATGGGCGAGGTAGGAGAACGCTTAGGCTTGGGCCAAGTACGATTGGAAGCTCGGCCACGGTCCGCCGAGGCTTCGCGGGAAGCCGTCTTGTGATTGCGGCTGTGCTCACGGTCTCGACCGCTTGAGCCGTCTCGTCTACCCTCCCGGCTTCCATGACGGCTGCGCTGCTTGCGTTGTTGAAGGCGTTGGGCGGTGTCGAGACTATGGATGTAGTCTTGCTTGCCACCAGTGGTGTTGCTACGGTAGCTTCTGCCAGCGGTGGAGTGAGAGTTGACGGAGCTGGTGACGGAACCGGGGCCACGTCGTCGAGAGGGCCAGTGAAACCGGGTTGAGGAAGAGATGGACTGTTCGGGGGAGAGGGTCTCGTTCGCCATGGGATTGTCGAGACCGTCTAGATCGAGTTGGAGTCCCTTCGGTTTGCGGTCCCGAGAGCCGTTTCGCTGGTGCAAGCTACCTTCCATCTTGACAATCATCCTGGCATCAGGGGAGGGGGGCGGGGGGTCTCTCGAACGAATGGTCAGCATCTTGTATTGGTCGCGCATCATCATGGGGCTAGCCGTGGCGGCTCTCTGCAAAGTCAGACCG